CACGTACTTCTTCAAATACAAAACCAAAAATGCAAACAAAGAAAAACACCAGTGGTAATTAGCTGGAAAATATATGTTAATAAAATGTAGTAAAGACAATATATATATATATATATATATATATATAACGAAATAAAAAGAAGTAGCGGCTTAAACGACGTTCTTCTCTCTTTCTATCGTCTTCTTCTCTGTTTCGTTTCTTTATCATTAATGATGGTGGTGTGGAACGCGTCGAGCAACTGCGGTGATCCACTTTCCATGCGGCGTACCCTCTTCACTTTATCGGCTTTTAATGTTGTTTTGTCTTCGCTCTTTCCCTCTTTCTTGGGGAACAACAGACAACGTGTTGGGAGAGATTACACTGAATTGCACCGAGGCGATGAGCTTGAAAATGAAAAAAAGAAGAGAAGAGAAGAGATAAAAAAAAAGACACGTGAAAACAAAGAAAAGAAAGCACCAAAACAACAAAATATAGAGAGACAGGCACAATATATACAAACAAATAATAATAATAATAATAAGTAATCTTTTGAGCGACAACGCTTCGGCTCTTTCGTGGCGTGGGGTGGCCTTCCAGGCGTTCAAGAAAATATCGAGAACACGTTCCGTTTTTCGTTTTTTGAGGGAGTCTAAAAAGAAAAGAAAAAAAATTACCTTTTTTCCACACAATCTGCTGTTTTTGTAGCCTTAATAATGCACTATTAAATGGAGAAGCAGCAGGTGTGTGTGCGTGTGTTGTTCAACTATCTTTGTATAGAAAAAACAGAAAGAAGATAACACTTGAGGCTCTCGTACAGAAATTTATCTTCTTGTTGTTTGTTTGGTTTTACTGGTTGTTGACCTCCGCTCTTGTCTACGCTACAAGAACGCAAAGGAGACAGTAACAAGCAAACGAGGGGGAAAAGAAAGAATTAATAATAGCACAACGAAGAGCAGAATAGTGCTGGTGGAGAAAGGGGGGGTTGCCTGATAGGGAAGACTTAAACTGCCACCTGTATTCAGTCCCCCTGTTACTTACAGCCGTGAAACAAACAAAGTTTATTTTATATAAATAAATAGATAGATAGTTATTATTTCCTTTTGACACAAATTGGCACCACGAGAAAGCATAAAAGCGAGAGGGAAGGAGGGAGCTCAACGACCGTCATGGAGGCAGCGGTGGCCGAGGTGCTCAACGAATACTGATAAACTCGCCTCGTGAAGCGAGCTATCAAAGTGTTCTCCTCCTGTGCACGCGTGAATTGTTCTCTTGATGCTATGGGGTTGTTGTTGATTATATTTTGTTGTTTTCCTTCTCGCGGTACGCCCTACTTCACACTTCTGTATCTTTCCTATGGCTGCACAAAAACAAATGGGGTTTTTTATTCTTCGATTCTCTTCTCTAAGCCAAAGCGGACGTCAGCGCTGAAGTGTGTTGGAGGAGAAGAGAAAATAAGAATGAAAATAGAAACACGAAAAGATAAAGGAGAAGGGGTCAAGGGGTATAAAAAAAAAGGAAGCGAAGAGGTGGGAAGGACATGGGAAGCAAGATACGAGGTGTCACCGTCAGTTATTTGGTCGCAACACAACCGCCACCGCAACCAACAGGAAAAGAGCACCAGAAGAAAAAAGCACTGCGCGAAAGCGGGCGGCACATATGAATGAGCGGGTGTGCGCGGGTGTGGGTGCAAAATACATATATATTGCAGTTCAGCGTAGATCCCACGCATTCGCCTGCAACGAGCATTCGGCTCTTTCTTCGCCGATCCGGCGGGGTTTTCCTTCGTTCTTGTTTTCACTCTACGACAACAACAAGGAGCTTGCAAAACAAATATGATCACGTAAATATTTTCTCTTGCCACACATCTTCTTTCTTTTTAGCGTATGTGACCATGCTTATCCTTTAACAGCCAATAGGAAAAAAAAAAGAAAAAAAGAAAGAAAGAACACACCCGGTAAGTCGTGCTTGTCACTTGGGAGAGTCATCCTTTATTATTTTCCACTTCTTTAAACTTTGTGCGGCCGCCATCCACAGCGCACCAACCCACAACCATCAACACATACATATGAGAAGTATTAGAAGAGAATTAAAGAAAGAAGCGAAAACACTTGAATTTGTACATTGGACGTGTTTTTCAGTCCGATCAACAACGACAACAACAACACACGCACGCAAAGATTATCAATAAAAGGAAAACGCGCTAGTAATAATAACGTGGGGTTTTTTTTGGTGGCGATCCGCAGATTGCTTGGCCCTCCTTCTTCGCCGCTCCGCCGACACTTCTTTCCTTCCAGTAAAGGACGCGAGCGGAGAAATGCAGACGCGGGTCGCCATGCGCGCGGAGGAGAACTAAAAACAGAAATAAAACTTCAACAATTAGAAGTGGCAGAAAAAAACATGTAATGAAAAGGCAGTGAAATGAGACGAGAAAAGAAAGAAAGAAAAGGAATGCGCATGAAATACACCTCTGACGACGTTACTTGTGCATGTGAGCGGGCGCAAAACAACACACGACAGCGAGACCAGATGCAAGACAAAAGGAGAAAAAGACAATATAAGAATACAGAAACGAACGCTTGCACGCCAACAGCCCGCAATCAAAGCTAAGCACATTTTTTTAATTCTTAAATATACGATTTGCTGGCAGTTGCACAAGACACGCTTGCGTGTGTGTGTGTGTCGTTTCATTCCTTCTCGACACCAGTGAGAGAGAGAGAGATGGCAAACTCCTCCCTCAGCTCACGGCGACGGAGAGAGAAACAAAAACAGGAGGGGAGGAGAGGAGGAAGAGGAATACCGCCAAAAGGGGAAATAGTTAACAACAAAACAAAAAAAAAGCTGTGTTTTTCATTTTGTAAAAAGAGAAAAGAAATAGACTTAAAAAATGAGATAAAGCGGTCTTCATCGACAAGAGAGAGTGCCCCCCTTCTTGACGGCGCAGCTTCGCCCGCATGCACGCCAACGGCACTGCTGTCGTTTCTCTACATGGCATGTTCTTCTCTTTTTACATCTCGCAGTGCTCCAGCAGGCTCTCCGTGCCCATCACGATCTCCTTAATCACTCGTCGCAGCATGCCATCCTTGTTCATTGTCCAGTCCGGGACGCTCAGGCAGGTGCGGCGCATCAACAGCCACGGCACGGTAGACAGTATATCGTTCCCACCTGCACCCTCCCCCGTCTGCCTCCTCGCAATTTCCTCTTCGCTCTCCTCCGCCAGGTCCAGCACACGGTTCACCGCCGCGTCGTACTCCTCTGGCGACGGCATCGCCATCGTGAAGGTCTGATGGTTCAAGTAGGTGGCCCGCACCCACGACGCGGGCAAATAGGGTGCAAAGAGCTCCACAAACGGCAGACTCAGATCCTCCACGGCGATCAGAAAAATATCTCGGCCACTTCCGCGCAGCGGCCGCACGCGTGGCCGCCTCGACGGCACCGCCGTCTCCGTCGACGTCGCGTCATCGCTGCAGGAGGCCGGACGCCCTGCCGAAACCTCCCGCTGCGCTGATACAGCAGCGGTAGGAGTAGAGAAGGCCGGCGGCTCGAACGTCGTCGTGGTGGGGCGCCTGGACAACAGCGCAGAGCCGAGCTCGTCGCTGCGGCGGCGCTGCAAGGACGCGACGGTCGACGCGTGGGTGAGGTCTTGCCGCCACGGCGGCTTCTCTTCCATGACGGCGGTGGCGAAGGTCTCGGTGGAGTCGCCGAGGTCGGTGTCGTGCTGCGAGGTGTCCTGCGCGGTGCTCTTCAGAAACGCATGGACACTGGTGGAGTCTCGTTGGGAGCCTGACCCAACGCTGCCAGCCTGTAGATCGCCTGCCGCCTGCCGGGGCTGTTGCTGATGCTGCTGCTGTTTCTGGAAGAGCTTGTACTCGACCTCGCTCTGCCTGTACATCTCCGCTACGTACATGAGGCTGCCAGAGACGTAGGTCTCGAAGGTGCGAAAGAGGAACGCGAAGCCGAGGTAGTGCAGCACGCCTTTCAGTAAGTCGGGGACGTGGTTCTCCGTGACGTACGCACAGCAGTTCAGGCAGACGCGATTCGTGAGGTAGTGGTTGCCGCTGTTGCTGGGACTCCCGCCGTCCTGCTGCAGGGGCGAGGAGGAGGACGCGTTAAAGCGGCTGCTGAGGCTGCCGTTGAAGTCGCCGCGTTGTGGCCGATTTGGTGTGATGCCGAGCGGCGTACCGCCACGGCCGCGGCTCGGTTTGGCGGCGCGCGCAGGCGAGAGGAGCCGCGACTGCGCGGCCCCATCGCAGAGGCACCCGTGCCGCTGCGCGTTCTCCTCGGCCATGTGAAAGATGCCTTTCTGAATCAGGGTGTGGTTGCGCAGGTCGGTCGCCATGACCAGCTCGGAAAACATGTCATACAACTCCATCTCGCGACTCGCCGTCCACTCGTGCGCCACGTTGGCCGGGGCGGTGTCTGTCGATGGGTCGAAGGACTGCGACTGCACGTTGACAGAGGCGGAGCTTGGATCTGGGAAGAAATGCAGCTCCGGGTAGCGCAGGAGAGCCATGACGAGGGCCACGACGGCGCCCTGTTGGGGGGAGGCGAAGCTGCACAACATGGCGTAGGGGTGTTTCAGCTGCGTTAAGAGGCGGTTGTCGATGCCGGTGTGAGCCAACATCAGTGTCATGGCAGCCAAAAGAAACGCGGCAACCTCGACATCCGACAAGGCGGCCGCGGTGGTGCCCTCGCACAACCACTGATGGGCGCCCAGCACCATCTCCGTGGCGTGGACAAGGTGGTGGAAGGGATTACCGTCGCGGAAGAACGTCGCGGCCACCTCGAGGAACTTCTTCAGCTTCTGCGTGTCCCACGCAAAGCGCCGCACGAAGTTGTACCGCAGCATCACGTTCAGGCACATCACCACGTAGAAGGAGCGGCTGTCCGTGTACTGGTAGGTGGCCATGCGGAACAGCACACTCATCGGGTTGGCGGCCTCGTCGATGTCGGGCAGGTACGGCACCCCCAGCTCCGCCAGCGCTTTCCGGGTGGCCGACTCGGCGACCCGCACGGGGCAGTGGCGGCAGTACGTCCGCATAAAGCGCGGGCCTGGTCGACGACCTTCCTCCGAGGCCCCGTCGAGCACAAAGTCGGGCATCACACCTTCCATCAGGGGGTCGATCCCGCCGTTGACCGAGGCGTGGCTCAGGTGCAGAACAGAGCAGCGGCGCGGGCGGTGGCCGCCGGCCCCGGTGAGCGCCCCGTCACGGCCGCCCGACAAGCCCGACACGCACGACACGCGGCTGCTGTCGAAGCTTTGTATGTCATCGCCGAGTGACACAGAGCTGCGCCGCTCCGGCAGAGTGGTGTACGATCCGACCGCCCCTGCTGCGGCGGTGTTGCTCCCGCCGTTGTTGCCGCCGACAAGGTGATTGCTCATGTTGGACACCAAACTCGCCACACGGCCGTACGGCTGCGTAAGTCGGTGATGGTTCATGTGGCGCGTGACGATAGTGGGCCCGCCTGACGCCGTGAGAGGCGAGCTATCCGAGACGTTCCCGGCTGCGGCGCTGGACGACGATTGCATCCCCGTAATGGAGGTGGCGGGGGAGGTAACAGGCGGTAGCATCGCCACGGCGCTCATGGCACCGTCACCACCACGGCCAACGCCATTCGCGTCCGTCACGTCATCCGTGGCCACGGTCGCCCCCCATGCGCTGGGTGCGCCTTTGCCCCCCTGACCGTCCGTCACTCCCCCAGCTTGTGGCCCACTGGTGTTGTTAATGAGCATGATGAGGTTGTGGCCGCCGCCGCTGCCGCCCTTGTTGGCAGAAGCGTTGTCGGAGTCCGCCGCCGTGCCGCCGGAGTAGCTTTCATCGCCGGCGAACACGACGTCAATCAGCGACACCACATTCGTTAGGGTGTTGCGCTTGGCGGCACCCGCTACCGGGCTGAGGACATCGTCCGCTGTCGTCGCCATGGGCAGCGGGGTGTCCGAGGTGAAGGACGCTGCGGCAGCCGTGACGACCGCCGAGGGAGGACTGTGGATGACGTGGTGGGGCGCGTCAGCGCGTACGCCGGGCAGCTTCCCAGCCGTCGAGGCGCCCGCCACTGGCGAAACGGCTGGCGAGACGAGTGGGGAGTACGGGGGGAAGAGCGCATCCTGCTCGCACGTTAAGGTCCCTGCGGTGCCCGCAACAGAGTTGGGCAGCGTCGTGAGCTGCGGCGAGGCAGCCTTGGAAGTGGGCGCGGTGCTCGGGTCGTCCGGCGTCGATCGCTCAGAGCTGGTGGGGATGGCGGTCGACCCGCCCTTGAAGAAGGGACCCGCGCTTTGCCGTTGCCCGCCCGTGCCGTCCTCGGCGGCGTAGAGTGGACTGTGGGAGGGCAGCAAGCCCGGTCCGTCTGCAGGTGCGACGTCGGAGTCGACGTTCAGCGGCACCGACGACACGCCTCTTGTCATAACAGACGAGGAGGCTTGCGGGCTGGTGCCAGACATCTCCGCGCGGTCGTACGCGGCGGGCGGGAGGCTGCACTCGTCGACACTGAAATTGCTGCGCGAGCGCCCCTCCGCCACCGGCAGCGGCGTCGCCATCGTGGTCGTCGCCACCGCCGATGCTGCCAGCGTCGTGGTCACCGCCGCGGGCGGCGTGGCGAGTCGACGCACCATCGACTCCGGATTGCGAGAGAAGAGCTCCCCGAGCAGCAGTCCAATGTTGCGCTGTTCATTGGCGACGAGCCGCGATGTCGTAGCGTGAACGGCGGCCTTCGTCACCTCATGGAGACTCGTCTCCTGCGCCCGTCGCAGCGAGACCCCACTGCTCGTCTGGGCGAAGTTCGCCACGTTGTACGTCGGCGTCTCTGCGGACGCCGCGCCGCCGCGGTGAAAGGAGCGCCACGGCTGCTGCGGCTGCTGCTGCAACTGAGGCGCCTGGTGCTGCTGCTGGCCGGGCGCGTGCGTCCGCGACGCCTTCATCAACCTTCCGCCGCTGCCGGTGGTGGTGGTCGTCGCAGAACTGTACAGACGGCCGGCTTTGGCGGAGACGCCAGAAACAGACGCGGAGGATGTCGAGTGGCGGTGGTTGTTGGTGGAGTTGGGTGAGCCGCGGCACCCATCGGTGGTGCGAGGTGAGCAAGGGGAGCTTTCACTGGACAGAGCCGGGGCAAGCAAATGCTCACGGCTCGCCCGCACCCCACCATCATTGGCTCGCCGCAGCTGACTGGAAACCCACTGCTGCAACGCCTCAGCAGAGGCGCCCTCGTGAAGCAGCTCCTGCATGTGCTGGAGAAGATGCACGCTGTCGCTGCCCACGGATTCCGCCACCCCCTCGCCCGCCGCCAGCGGCCCTCTTTCCAGGGAGTGGGTCACCGCCACGCCATCGAGGCGCGCACACGGCGCTTCCTCCTCTTGTTGCTGGACGGAGATGCTGCTCGTGCGGCTCTCGCGGTTTGCCTTGGCTGCCGCGCAACCAGTTCCAGCAGCAGCAGCGCGGCCACCCCGCACGACACCGGCCATGGAGACGTCTGTGCCGTCTCCGCCTGTCACATTCGCAGCAGCAGCAGCAACGTTGGCGTCGATGTCTTGCGCACGGGGCACAAACGCCTGCCGACTCATCCTGTTGGGGATGGCGGCTCCTTCGGGCATGGGGTTCTGCGCCCTGCCAGACGACGACCGTGAAAGAGCAGGGAGCATCTACTTTGGTGTGGGTGATTTGTGCCGTTTCTTAGGAGGGGTCTTTCCGCGGTATCGCTATCCGCAGAACGGAGAAGAGAAAAAACGGGTATCACTGAAAATTAAAATCTGGGGAAACAAATAAATATATGTACGGTGAGAAGAGAGAGGGAGAGAGACGGTTAGACGCGAGTTGTCGAGAGCTTACGCACACGGAGAAAGAGGAAGAAAAGAAACGGCAAAGAACACGGAGGCAGGAAACTGGGGTTTTTCGAAAACAAAAATCTTGAGAAACAGGCGAAGGAGCGAAGAACAACAAAAAAAAGAGAAGAGAAAAGACGCCCACTAGAGGTCGTATGTGTATACGGATAGCTGAAGAAGAATACCTGTGGTGTCTTGGAGCGAAAGCGACAACTTGCAAGTCAGAAAACAGAAAAGGAAAAAGAAGAACAACGCACAAAATAGACTGATATACTTAATAGTATTTTGTTACCCTCACAGCGTCACCTTTTAGAAGAGCACCGCTTTGGCAGAGGGGGGAGGGGAGGGGAAGGGAGAAGAGGAGGGGGGGAAGAAAGGAAAAAATGAGACGGGAAGAGATGGGAAAAGCAGGAAAACAGAATAGTCTACACAACTATTAATATATATTAGGCACTTAGTTGTTTTACATGCGTTCGGTTTAGAGAATGACGAGGAGAAAAGAGGGAGAGGGGGAGGGGGGGACACACACAAGAAAAAATGTGATGGGAAATATCACGTAGGAAAGGAAAACAAAAATCAAGAGAGACAGAGAGAGAGAAGGGAAACTCTTCTTCTTCTCTCGCAAAAGCAATGAAAATAATTTTCACAACAACAACAACGAGAAGGGAGGAGAGAGAGAGAGAGAAAGAGAGAGGGACAACGCACACGCACACACACACGTTCTTTCCTCAGTGCGCGAAATCCTGCCCCGATGCGTACACAGCCGTAGACTCCTTGCAAAAAAAAAAGGACAATCAGGAGCGGAAACAATTGCTGTTACTACCCACAAACCCGTTGCAGGGGAAGGGACATGTACATACAAACAAAACACGAATAATAGAAGTAGAGTTCGAGAGAGAGAAACAGAGAGAGAGAAGGAGAAGGAGCAGCCCACACACACACACACAAAGAAGAAGAAAAAGAATGAAGCACGCAGCGCAGAAAATAAATATATAAACAAACAAAACGGTGCGAAACGTATTGGTGCGTCGCTGCTGCCGTTCGTGGACCCAAAAAAAAAACAACCAACGAAAAGGATTGAAGAGCCGCAACGAAGCGCCTAAACTACTACGTGGAGAAAAGGTAAATATATATTTAATAGAGCAGCGGCTCACTGAAAATGAAGAGGACGGCGAAGAGGACAGCAGACGAGAGAGAGCGCGCCGGGTCCGAGTGAACGGCGAACCAAGTGATCGTCGCAACCTGCAGCGTTTGGCGTAAGGAGTGAAGGAGGAAGAGGAGAGGAGGGATGGCGTGGGTGTGGAGGAGGGAAAGAGATTGGGAGATGAGATCGAGAAAAACAAAAGAAAGCAACATACGCCTCTAACGCATTGGCTCTTGGGCGTGGGGAGAGACGCCGTGTGCGGCAGACACCGTGGCTCTCAAGGTGTACCGCGCTTCCTTCGAATTGCGCATGTCCAAAAGCCTGCAATGCTCCTCGACGATAGTACTTGTAACTTGAGCTGTTGGAAAGTGTGATGAGCAAATACGTACCTTTGTGTGTGCGTGGATGTACGGCGGGGAAATGAGAGCAGAGCAGCGCTACAATACAACAAACAAAAAAAGAAGGCAAACGCGGACAGCTCACAAGGCACCGCAGCGCAGAAAAGGCCGGACCGCACGGCACCTTTGGTTCGCACCGCCCACCGAGCTCGGCCCTTCGTCTCCGTACGCCCCTGCACTTCCGCTCCCCCCCCCCCCCGTCACTCCAGGCGACGGCGCGCTCGCAGTGCGACATACGTGGCACCGCCACACATCACCGCTTCATGGCGCCCTCGGTTAACCTCTTCCACGACAGTCGCACCTCGTCCAGCTGCGCCGCCGCAGACGGAAATCGCACCCGCGCCGCACGATTCCCCAGTAGAATCAGCCGTGTCGGCGTCCCAATACAAAAGAAGGGACTCACCAGCAGGTGCTGGTGTCCGTCCACGTAGACGGAGTCCGCCGCATCACACAACACGTGCGCTAAGCAGTACGGACTCTCGCGCAGCGACCGATCGGTGCTCAGAGGGGCAGCCGCACTAGAAAGCGGAGAAGACGCGCTGGCTTTCGAGTTGGGTGCATCGACCGCGGAAGCCGCAATGCGGTGCCCCGCTGCGTAGGAAAGCGCAGGGCTCCCTGCCCCACTCGCTTGTCTCGTCTTCGCCTCGCGGTCATCGAGGTCGTGGCTCGGCAACACAATTAAAAAGAGGAGACTTTGTGTCGACGACGCTGCTTTTTTCAGGCAGGTGAGAAGGTGCTCCTCCATGCGTCGCAGCAGCGTTGTGTCGAAGGGTGGATTCACCTCCACATGGCACTCGTCACAAGAAGGATCATCTATGACCGGTGCTGCTGTGGTGCTGCCGTGTGCATCACCTTCGGAAGAGGCGGCGCCTCTGCCCAGCATCAAATCGAAGAAGGAGCCCATGCTGCCAAAGAACGCGTCCGTGTCGGGGAACAAGGAGCCGAACTGCGGCAGCTGCGCGTTTAACGGCGATGCAAAGGCCTCGGCGCGGATGTGAAAGGTGCGGGCTAGTTTGTCCATGATGGGCGGCGGGACGGCAGCTTGAGGGCCTTGATTGTAGCCTTGCTCACCGAAAAGGCTGCGGTAGCGCAGGAGCAGTGTGAAGAGCCGGGCCAGAAACGCCTTCTCTGCCGAGCCGAAGGTGGTGACGATGGAGCTCGGTCTTTCCGCGAAGGAAAGAGACGCGTCGGCCCTCCCCAGCACCAAGTTGTGCCACGTGCCAGGGGGAGCAGAAGCAGCAGCCTCCACTTCTGCTCGCTTTATCAAGTCCTCCAGCACACTACTAGCTACCGAGGAAGGAACGGATGCACCCTCGCAGAGATGGGGAGGAGGAGAATCCACCTCCCAGTCGTGCGTATCTTGGTGCTCGTGGCTGCACGGTGTATCGATCTTCTTTTCTTCATCCTGCGGCGGCGGTGCCAGCGATGCGGCACGCGTCGTGTCGTACAACGCCGCCAGCTTGCGTGCAGAGCGCAGCAGAACCGCCACCGTCGGTGACGAGACCCGCGCCGGCAGCTTCACCTCTCTGTCCACTTGTGCGTCCATGTTGGTGTCCGCGTCGCCACGCGGTCGTTTGCGATCTGCGGAGGCGGTTGCAGCGCCTTCCCGGGCAGGGTGCACGGAAAGGTCTGGCGAAGCGCTCTCCATTTCCCGCACACGCAGCTGCAAACACCCACGCGCAACATCCACGCGTACCTGCAGCAGCAGCAGCAGTGCGGGCACCACCGGTGTAATAGAAGGTTGCCCACGCGGTGCACCGCCGTTGCTCAGTGTTGCGGAGTTCCTAGCATCAGACGAGAGGCGTTGAAGACTGTCGGCAAGCTCAGCTCGACGCTGCCGGGCACAGCGTGCAAGGCGGAGGGACACGTCAGCCGCCACGGCAGGCAAGTCCTTCGGTTCGTTGCTGCCGCTGGAGGGAAAGGTGCTTTGCTGTCGATTTGAGTCGACATGGATTTTCTTTCCTGACGGCGTTGTGCGCCGCTTCTTCTGCTGTTGCTGCTGCTGCAACGCACGCAAGAAGAAGACATAAATCCCAGTACTCACGCCGCGATCGGAGTAGAGCTCGTCGCACGGCAGCAGCGGATCCACGTGCAGGGGCACCGGCGGGTCGAGCCACAACGTCTCGCGATCTACCCGCTCCACACACACCGCTGCGGTCGCCGAGGGATCCACAGGTGCGACATCGACCCAGTACGCCCCTCGTGCCATGGAGGCCGTGGCAACGACGCGGTAGTGGTGACGAGCCGCGGCCACGGAAAGCTGCTCCGTTGCTTCTGCAGTCAACGCTGCCGTTGCGGGGGTCGTCGTCGATGCGGAGTGGTCGCGCTTCACGACTGTGGCGCCGACGTCTAGTGGAGTGACACCGCGACGCACCCGCCACGCAGCCGCGCTCGACAGGACGTGTTGATCCACCGCGCCGAGGCCCTGCATCACCCAGCGTGGGGGCAGCTCAAAGTACTCCTGCCAGGTGGCCAGCGGTGAAGTTACGGCGGTAGGGGTGTGATCTGCGTCCCCGCGAACACTGAATGTCGCGTCCGGCAAGCCACACGCGTTCCGCAGGTCTACCTGCATTAAGGAGAGAAAGCTAAGGTGGCGCAGGCACTCCGCAACGACGGCCTGTGCGACGTACGCCTCCGCCTCGCACCACCACCGTGAACGGAAGCTTCTCGGAGCAGTGGCAGATGCCGCCTCGTCGTGGTGCAAGCACGAACGGAATGCCGGCGAATCGAACAGAAAGTGCGCAGTGCGGGAGTGACGGCGCAGCGTGTAGTGGAATGGGATGCGGAGTCGCTGTTTTAAAGAGTCTGTGACTTCGTTAGTGGTTGTGGGGGACGACGAAGGTGTAGAGCTCTGGTTTTGATCGAACCGACCGGTCGTAGAAGAGCTTGCGTCTTTATCATTGGCACCAGGTGGAGAAGAATAGCGCTGCTGGAGAGCCTCTTGCATAATCAGTACGACGCGATCGTCGGCAAATACCTGCTCCACGCCCTCACGCTTCTGGCGTACGTTCATGTTTGGGAAAGTCTATGGGTGTGGGGGGTGTCTATTCTCTTGATGGAGCGCACATAGCCGTGGATTACATACAAGTGAAGGCACAGTAAAGCACACGTGTAAAAGGAAAGGAGAGGAAGGAGGAGAAATTCTTTTCTTTAAAGGAGCTGACGTGAGTGCAAGAGGAAAGCGGAGAAGCAGAGAAGTGGAAGGTTATTATCACGTTGTTGGTATGGGAGCTCTTGTATGGCAACAACGCACTCGGTTGCTGTTATTCTTACAAAAGGAAACTGTAAGGGAAGAGGATCTGTGTTGAGCCATTTAATTCTCCCTCCCCTCCCTCCTTGCGCTTTCTGCTCTGTTGGACCTGATCGACACAGATAGCAATGGAGTTCGCATTCACCTTTCCAATAATAATAAGTATGAAATAAAACTCGAAACCGCCGTGCGAATTCGAGAAGATTCAGCGAGTTATGCACGCACACCTCTGCGCAACACATCGATTGCGTGAGGGGAAGGCTAAATAACAATTTAAGAAAGAAAAGAAAAGAACGGATACTCTGTTTTTGTTGTTTCTGGTGCTTTCTTCAGTGATACATGCACTTCTCTCGCTTCGATAGCCACCATAACGGAAAACGCACCTCTCAGTGTAACTACATCACCCATATCACTACGCACACACGCAGACACACACATGCATATAAATATATATATACTCGCAAACTCATACACATACAAGCAATTGAATCAGAGCATGCAGAGATCAACGCAGAACGAAAAACACACCCAATACACTACAGTGTGAAAAGCTGTGTAAATAGCTTACCAGCAAACTAAAAAACCATGAATGAAAAGAAGAAGAGAGTCAAGAGACTTGCTTTTTGCTTCTACATAAAACAAAAACAGTTAAATATATATATATATGTAAACAAGAATCCGAAAGGAAGGAAGTAGAGATTCCCGGCGAGTCTTCCTGCACCGTTACGACTAATCCAAAAGAAAAAGATCCGCAGATCATAAATAACTGTAAGACATAAAAAAAGAAGAAGAAGAATGACATCAAGATATTTATAAAAACACTTGAGGAGCACATCACTCTTCACCACAACTAACATACCGTTCTTTTTCCTTTTAGGGGGAGAGAGTGGAAAGGGAAAAGGGGAGAGAAAAACAAAAGAGGCGCAGCATTGGCGGAGTCGAAGCAAGGCGGAAACACAAGCCGAAAGCCGTATCTGTACACATCGAAATAGCAGGTGCCACACGCTTCACCCAATTCCTTCGCCCCAACGGCAGAGAAACGGACTCCTTCTTTCCGTAGCGAAACGCATCTGCGTGATACACACAAGGAGAAAAAAAAAAAAGAAGTATTCAATGATAAACTCTGAAACCAGCACCACTCCTCAGACACAAAAAGTGCGGTGGCGGAAAACAAAAAGTAAAAGGAAAAGGCGGGATGGATGGAAAGCAGCACTGGAAAGAAGTGTCAAAATATATATGGAGAGATGAAGAAATAAACGATGACACTCCGCCTTTGAACGGCGTAGCGAGAGAGGACATGCTGTGCGGACGTATTCATCGTCCACGGAATCACACAGGCACTCTTTTCTCAAGTACACGACGCGACGGAAGCAAACGGGCTAGCAACATGAATACTCCCCCTTTAGCGCACCGGGTACTGACGGCGCGCGTGCGGGTCGGCCGGCGTCCGCGCACCGGTGGAGGCGGCCCGTGTCGGGCTGACCGACACTGGAGGCAGCACGCCATCACCAACGGGATGCGGGGCGCGTCCGCTTGAGACGCCCTCCCCGCCACTGCCGTTTCGACTGCGGGCGGAGACAGCGGTGGGGTGTCCGCCGGCGCTCGGCGTAGGCGGTAGCGACCCCGACTGCCGTCCCTGACCCGCACTAGAGTTGAGCCGGCGTGCGCTGCTGCCGCTGCCGCCATCACCCGGCACGGGCGTCGCTGGCGGCTGCGGCTTGTAATACTCCGTGTCGTGGTCGCCTGACCGTCCCGGGCGGGTGGCGGCCGACACGCGGTCACGTCCTGCACTTGCATTCACGGGTCGCGTGACGCGCACCTCCACTACTTCCTCGGCCGCTGCCGGCTCTGCGTTTACGGATGGCAAAGCCTACCGGAATAGCTGGGACCGGGTGTTACCGTTGCCGCTGCTGGGAGCGCCTGGGCTATGGGGATTTGTGTGACCGTTGGTTGTGGTGGTGGCACCGTTGTTGTTGCTCACGGGCGTGCGACTATCCTTATTGTTGTTGGTACCTGGTGGAACAGGGGTGGCTTTCGCACCGCTCAGCCGTCGCTGCTCCGGTTGTGGTGATCGCTGCGGCGGCGGCGGTTGCTGTTGCTGTTGCTGGCTCATCCGACGCTGACGAGGCACCGTAGTGGAAGACGACGGTGAGATCACATCTCCCTCCTGTGCCAGCTGTGCATTTGCCTCCGCAGCCACATCGCTTTGGCGGCGTCGATTATCCTCCGCCCTTGCCAGTCGCTCCTTCCGCAGCTGCATCTTCTCCTGCTCCTGGTCAAACCGCTTGCAGAACATCGTCAGCGTGCGCAGCACCTCGTTCAGCGAGAAGGTCTCCTTCTTCTCACACAGAAACGTGCACAGACGCTCCATCTTGCCGTCGATCGTCTCCGCAAGCTTCTCCACACGCTCCAGCTCCGGCAGCGCCCGAATAATGAACTTGCCCAGCACGGTGGTCCAGCGGCTGTCGTTCTTCAGCTCCTCAATCAGCAGCTTGCACTTCTGCAGACGGCCGCGCAGCTTCTTCAGCTCCTGCTCGATGCTCGGCACGTCGATCTCGCGGCCCGCCTCCACCATCGGCATTAGCTCATCCGAGATGTGCAGCATCCCGGCCTGGGAGGGGTTCGACGCCTCCATGGAGCTCAGCGACTCCGCAACGTAGGAAAGCAGCGTGCTCTTGCCGTCCGTCGTCTTGAAGTCCATGATCTGCGGCAGCTGCGTGATCGGGAAGCCCTTCGCGTCCTGGAAGCGGCTGCCCTTGTTCAGGAAGTTGCTCACCTCCAGCAGAAAGTACAGCATGTCCGGCAGCGACCTCGAGTCGAAGATGGCGTCGATGGCACGGTTCGCCTTCGCCAGCTTCTGCTCCAGGTCTTCGAGGTCGCCGTGCAGCTTGTACTTGAGGCTCCACGCGTGGATGCGCTCCGCGTAGTGGTCGATGGTCTGCGTCATCAAGATGAAGCGCACCGCCATCGGCAGCTCCTGCTGCTCCGTCCGCGACCAGGGCTTTCCGTGTGCCTTGCGTGCACGGTTGATCGCCTCCAAGTCTTCGGCAGATGGGATAATCTTCAGCAAGCCGGAAACGCGCTCTTCGCCCAAGGTCAGCGTGTCGAAGGTGCGTATGCTCGCTTCGATTTGCTGGATCGGAAGCCGTATGAACTTCAGCACAATGCCCACGTTGCGGTCACGGTCGGGGGTTAAAATCTCCATGGCACGGCTGGTCGCCTCCTCCATCTCGCCCTTCGGCTTCAGCTCCCGCTTTGTGAAGAGCTCCTCCAGCTGCTTGCGCGCATCGTCGGAGAGCATCGGGCGGCCGGTGACCTCGCCAAAGACACCGACGGAGTCGCCGATGGCGCCGTTGATGGGCACCGGGCGCGTCTTGCCGGTGTTCGCGGCGGGAGCGGCCGCGCCCGGCCTGCCCTTCGTCCCAGGCGGGGGTGGCGGTGGCGGCGGTGCCGCAGGCCCACCTGTCCGGCCGAGGCCCGGTGGAGGCGGTGGCGGAGGAGGGGGTGCTCCGCCGATGGACGGCGGCGGGGGTGGCGGTCCCGCACCACCTCCCGCAGCGGACGGGCACGGTCGCGACGGTGGTATCCCGGGCGGCGGCGGGGCTCCTTTCGCGGGCGGCGGCGGCGGAGGGGGAGACCAACCGGTGGGGACGGTGCGGGCGCTCCGGACGTCGACGGCGATGATGGCGGAGGCGGCGGCGGCGGCGGTAGACCGGCCGGTGGTGCCGGTCCGTGCGACGAAAACCCTGAGGATGCCGGCGGCGGAGGAGGAGGCGTTGGAGGCAGTCTAGCGGAGGGCGCGGAAGCTCCTCCAGAGGACGAGACGGGGGGAGGTGGAGGTGGCATTCCTTTCGGTGCGGTCGGTGCCACTGCCTCCCCACTACCCGTCGCATCGCTTTCGAGCGAGTTCGACGCGGACGCCCGCCGCTGCCGCCCCACATCGCCGTGCGGCTGAGACGCGCGGCGCAGCACGTCGTTGAGAAGGCTCTCCGTGTGGGGGGAGTTCTGTGGCCGCTCCCCCTGCTGTCCCGCTGCGCCCGCCTCGGACAAACCGGGGGTGTAGGACGATGTGAGGTGGCCCGCGGCGCCAGTGGATGGCGCCGCCTTACCGCTCACACCTCGACTATCCAACGGCACGGCAGACGAACGCGTGTCGCCGTTGGTCGCGTTGCTACTCCGTTGATTTTGGTTTACTGCGGCCACGCTGCCTCGGCGCGGGGCGACGACGGTGGCAGGGGCGTGGGGACACGGTCGGCTGTTTGTGTTGCTCGTCCCGTCCGGAGGAACATTGGGGCTGCTGCCCGCCTCTGACCCAGGTAAGTTGCTGCTCGAGGCGTTGTTGGAGCTAGAGCTTGGTCCGCTGCCGCGCGCGTGCGCCGTCGGCGACAACTCTACGCGGGTCGCGAGCCGCGTCGGCACATCCGCGGCGTCCTTCGACAGCGAGGGTCGGCGGGCACGCCGGACCGCTGGGGAGGTGGACGACTTTGTCACGCCGCCGTCTGCGGCTGCCGCGTCCTGCGAGGCGCCGTCTGCACGATGGAAAGGGTAGGACGTGCGGGGAGCCACACTAATCGCCCCGCTGGTGCTGCTGCTGCTAGCGTCGCGTGCTGGCGATACCGCCGGAGAGGCGGCGAGGAGGTTGCTGCGGGACGCCTGCCGCTCCCGGTTGGGCGCGGCAACAGCGTTATCGCGCAGCTGCCGGAACTCCTGCGGCGACAGACTCGTCGTGACGGTGTCGTCGCCCAGGCCAGGACTAGTGCTTGTGAGATCAGCAAGGCTGGCGCGGGCACCGATCGCGCCATTCAGTTTGTGGTAGGCTGCTTCGATTTGCTTCTTGTGATCGGGTCGCGGTCGAGCACCACCGGTGGCGGCTACGCGGGCGAAGACGTTATCCATTTCATCACGCGTCAGGTTGCGATTGGCGGCGCGGTCCTGTCGCAGGAAGGTGCGAGCGTGCTCGACGTTGCCGTCGGTGAGGCGCAGCGCGGTTCGAATCTCCTCCTCCGGGCGCTCCGGGAACTCCGCCTGAAGGGCCTGGGTGGCGCCGCCTGGGGACTGCCCAAGACGTAGCAGCAGCAGCGGGAGCTCCTGGGCCTCCATGTCCGTGAGCGCCTGCTGCTGTGAGGCGACAATGGTGTTCGGCAGCTGCGTGGAGCGCTGCCCAGCCTTTTGCGCCAGTAGGCCCGCCGCCTCCTGGGCATCACCATTGGTGGCGTTCAACGTGCGGATCACCTCCCCCTTCCAGCTCGGCGGCAGCTCTAAGAACTCGAGGAGTCGCTGCACAACGTCGTGGGTACCGTAGTGCAGCGCATCCACGCTATTCGGCGACGCCAGTCGCTCCTCCACCTCACTCTGTAGGATGGCCAGCATCAGGTCGGTGTCGCCTTGAGCCGCCAGCGCCACGTCCCGCACGTGCTCCGGCGAGACGCCGTGCGCCTCGGCGATGGACTGGATGTACTCCTTTGTCAGCTCCACCGTGTGAAACTGCGAGCCGGGGCGTAGGTTGTTCACCCCACTCATGGAGAGCGACCGGCGGCGGCCCAGGGACGGCCTGCGGATCTGCTGCAGGGAGGCGGACGGGCTCGTGCTTTCCGGTACAATGCCACCATCGTCAATGTGCACGGTGGCTCGTCGTCGTGGTCCGTCGGGTGACCCGACACGCTTTGGCTCTTCGCCGGCATTTCCGCCGTTCGACTCTCCACTGCTGGTGTAACCCGTTTTGCTCGCCGCATCCGGGGTGGGCGGCGCGTCTTCCAGAGGGGACGACTTGCCAGGGACCGCGAAGTTGCTCTCCGAGACGACCTCCGCGCCGACCTCGGCGAACTCGACGTAGGCGCTGGACCGCCGCTTCGACGGTGGTCGGCGAAAGGACATGCTTGACGAACGAAGCCTTGCGTATTTACTCTCCTTCTTCTTTTCTGTTGCTGATCTTCTGATATGTGTTGTGGTGGGACGTAGTTTCTTTTCGGCCTCACCGTTCTCCAACGCTGCGGTGTGCGCCAAAAAAAAACACAAGAAAATAGAAGGAAGCGGGGCGGCGTCGTCCGCGTCAACGCACTTCGTGCCGCGGTGCGGAGAAAGGAAAAGAATCGATCGGTGTATGAGCAAGGAAGACGACGGATGATCCGCCTCTCTTCGCTGGGAGAACGAGAAACGAAAGGAGCAACAAAGGAAAAAAATTAAAGGACGCCACCAAAAATTTTGAGCCAAGAACGGCCTACAAGAAATAGTACAAAAGCAAAGTAAGAAAGAGTGGCGACGGCGAAACTCTCCACAAAAAAGACGACGATGTGCGGCTGGGAAAACAAGAAAATGAAAAATAGAAAACAAAACAAAAGAAAACAACAGGCCGGAGCAGCCACCCGTGTCGCGCCAACAAACGGCAGTGCCCCTCAATCTTATGTACAAAGATGGAGAGAGGACCTCCGCCGTGGCTCCGAAAAAAAAAACCCGGGGGAAAAGAAAAGAGGGAGAGAGAAGTATTAACAGTTTGTTTGTTTTTCAAATTGCACAGAGTGTTAAACGCAAATGTAGCCGAACACTAACAACAATAATAATAATAATCACAATATAAGCGGAGAAAAGGAGGGGGGGAACAGCAGAGGAAGTAAAAGAAGACAGAAAAAAAAGGGACTGTGCGTGGGCGTTGTTTCTATTGAAGCAGTAACGCGAAGACGATGGTGTGGCCTGCAAACGCCGACGTCGCAAAAACCCTCCCGTGCACGCAGCAGTGAATCGTATATCGCGCGCTGTGGTTGCGCTTGTGGGTGTGTGTTTGTATGTGTTATGGAGATTGTGGTTGAGAGTGTACGGCACAGACTATGCAGAAGGAAGGCAGTACTGGCTAGAGACTTCGCTCCGAAAGCACGCACCAAAACTTGGGTTTCATTGTTTTCCCCAAGAAAAAGAATATTAAGGAGGCGGGGTAGGGAAAAGGCGGGAGTGCCAAAAGGCAAAGGTGGAAGGATGGCGCGAAGGCGAGGCAGGAGAAAACGCCAAAAGAACACCACAAAACGAAACACACATTCCGTTACCGCAACAGCAATGCATCGGGCTTAACCGTCGAAAGAGGTGGAAGGCCTTGTGGCAAGGGTGATGCAAAGACGGCGTTACACATGGGTCTCAGTGTGTGTGTGTGTGTGTAGGGGGGAGGGGGGGGTATGTGTGATGTTGGAGAAGAACAAAAACGGCGAGTAAGCAGTCTGCCGATCACTGGAAACACGATGATGATGCACCGGACGTATTACGATAATTCTTTTCTTGAAGGTTCCCCTCGCACGGAAGCGACTGGAAGAGTAGAAGAGCAGGAGAACAGGGTCCTTGGTGTGCCACAGAGAATCGGATAAGCTGATGTACCACGAAATAAGAAAAAAGCACCAGCGGCAAACTCATCAGCGTCGATGGCGGCGCAAAATGAAGTGCACGTTTGAAAATACAAAAAAAAAGGGTTCGGCTTTAGCGGAACGAGAATCCCTTTTTCCTTTTTGCGGTTGTGCGTGAGTGCTCAAGTCATGCAGGCGCCCGGTCTGGCACACAACAGCATGGCGATCACGCCCGGTGACGCCACTTACGAACCTTTGTGCAACGGAGCGTTTATTTCACCATCGCCTCTACTGTGTGCTGCTTCGGGTTCGACAGGGTGTTCCTGTTTCGGCTGATGTTGCCGGTGTTGAGCACTGCACGGCGTGTCCTGTCATTAACTCAGCCGACGCCGACGAGGTGCAGACGATTTAGCGATCGTTTCTTGGGTCAGCTGTGCATGTGCCTCTTCCCTTGCGAGTCGCCCCTTCCGCAGCTGCATCTTCTCCTGCTCCTGGTCAAACCGCTTGCAGAACATCGTCAGCGTGCGCAGCACCTCGTTCAGCGAGAAGGTCTCCTTCTTCTCACACAGAAACGTGCACAGACGCTCCATCTTGCCGTCGATCGTCTCCGCAAGCTTCTCCACACGCTCCAGCTCCGGCAGCGCCCGAATAATGAACTTGCCCAGCACGGTGGTCCAGCGGCTGTCGTTCTTCAGCTCCCTAATCAGCAGCTTGCACTTCTGCAGACGGCCGCGCAGCTTCTTCAGCTCCTGCTCGATGCTCGGCACGTCGATCTCGCGGCCCGCCTCCACCATCGGCATTAGCTCATCCGAGATGTGCAGCATCCCGGCCTGGGAGGGGTTCGACGCCTCCATGGAGCTCAGCGACTCCGCAACGTAGGAAAGCAGCGTGCTCTTGCCGTCCGTCGTCTTGAAGTCCATGATCTGCGGCAGCTGCGTGATCGGGAAGCCCTTCGCGTCCTGGAAGCGGCTGCCCTTGTTCAGGAAGTTGCTCACCTCCAGCAGAAAGTACAGCATGTCCGGCAGCGACCTCGAGTCGAAGATGGCGTCGATGGCACGGTTCACCTTCGCCAGCTTCTGCTCCAGGTCTTCGAGGTCGCCGTGCAGCTTGTACTTGAGGCTCCACGCGTGGATGCGCTCCGCGTAGTGGTCGATGGTCTGCGTCATCAAGATGAAGCGCACCGCCATCGGCAGCTCCTGCTGCTCCGTCCGCGACCAGGGCTTTCCGTGTGCCTTGCGTGCACGGTTGATCTCCTCGATCTCCTCTGCTTTCGGGATATTCTCCTTCAATAAAGCGACGCGCTCTTCGCCCAAGGTCAGCGTGTCGAAGGTGCGTATGCTCGCCTCGATTTGCTGAATTGGAAGGTTGATGATCTTCAGCATCACGTTCACCGCCGTGTCTATCTTCCACGGAAGTATGTCGGCTGCAGCGGGCTTTGCAGCCATTTTCATCAGCGGATCGGTCTTCTTGAACAGCTTCTCCAAGCACGCACGCGTTTCTGCTGACAGCGCGGGGCGGTGTGTGACCTCGCCAAAGACACCGACGGAGTCGCCGATGGCGCCGTTGATGGGCACCGGGCGCGTCTTGCCGGTGTTCGCGGCGGGAGCAGCCTCGCCCGGCCTGCCCTTCGTCCCAGGCGGGGGAGGCGGCGGTGGAGGAGGGGGAGGTGCGCCGCCGATGGACGGAGGCGGTGGTGGTGGTGGGAGTCCTGGCGGCGGTGTCGGGGTGGTCTCACGGCTATCGCTGCTCGCCGCAGACGTTGCCAGGGCCGGGTCGCGCGCCGAGGCAGTCTCTGACCTGCTCGGCGACACAATCAGAGGGAGGACGGCGTCCGCAGCTTTGTGGCGATCCTCTGCCCACGAGACCGCTGGTGGGGACACCAACGGCGGCAACCCCGTCGAGAGCGGAGGAGAGACGGCGGTCGAGTTCGATGCGCTTCCTCGACGAGGGAGAAATTCCGCGCTGGTGCTCACCGACGCGGCGCCGTCGCGCGCTGCGGCCGGACGCGTGCGATGAGACGACGCCGCGTTCCGCACCGCAGGTGTGTTGCCCGGCGGAGAGAAATCGAGGCGACTGGCCAGCCGCCCCGACACGTCCACCGCTCCCCTCGACAGCGACGCGCGGCGGTGGCGCAACGCGGACGACGGCACTGGGTGCGCCGACCCGCCGTCGGCTGGAGGTGCGGGTGAGGCTTCCTTACACGTACTCGGTCGGCGTCCGTCCACGATAAAGGAGGAGGGAGCCGTGGGAGGTGGAGGGGTCGGCAGGGGGTCCACGGTTGGGCCTCCATCCCAGCGGCGAGCAGCGGTGCGTTCTTCAGAGGACACCACCGCCGGCAAGAACGCAGAAACACTGCAGCTCTTTGAGTAGGACGGCTCTTCTTCGTGCTCCTGTCGTACACCCTTTTGATCCTCAGCTATGTCGCCGTCACCGTTGCCCCGCAGTTGCTCAAATTCCTGCGAGGAGAGACTCGTCGAGAGAGCGTCCTCGCCCAGCTCCGAGGCAACGACGCTCGTCCGCGCACCGATGGCATCATTGAGCTTGTAGTACACCCGCTCGCCCTCCTTGCGGTGCGTCTGATGTGGACGTGCCCCACCCGTGGCAACGACGCGGGCCACGACATGGTCCATTTCATCCCGCGTCAACTCCTCGCCGACGCTCGGCGAGGACGCACTGCTGCCGCCGCTTTCCGCAGCTTCATTTTGGGACGGCTGCGCCTCGCCTTCGCCGCCACCACCCGACGCAGGCATTCGCGCTCGCGCCGCCTCAATCGCAGACTGAAGCTGGTTCTTCTTTAACTCGAGCTGGGCGGCCGCCTCCTGGGCGTCACCTTGGGTTGCGTTCAGCGTGCGGATCACCTCCCCCTCCCAGTCGTTGGGAAGCTCCAAGAAGCTCAGCAGCTGGGTCACCGCCGCGGCGTCGTTGAAGTTCAACTTGTCCACGCTGTTCGGCGAAGCGAGGCGGTGACTCACCTCGTTCTGCAGAATGCTTAGCATCAAGTCGGTGTTACCCTGAGCCGCCAGCGCCACATCTCGCACGTGCTCTGGCGACACGCCGTGCGCCTCCGCAAGGTTCTGTATGTACTCCTTCGTCAACTCCACCGTGTGAAACTGCGAGCTGCGGCGGAAGGTGATGCTCGACCCGCTGGTGGTGAACGACCCACGGCGGCGACGCTCGACCAGTGACAGCCGTTGCACTCGCTGCGGCGACACAGATGGCGCCTGCACCAACGGTGGGGACTCATTGTAGTCCACCACATGCACGGTGGTGCGCCGTCGCCGCCCAGAGGATGCGCTGGTTGTGCTGCCGTTGCCGTCTTCGTCCCCGCTGTCGTGATGTCCCTCCTTCCCGCCTGCGGACGACGCCGCCTCGGCCGCCGTGCAGAGCGCATTCGTCAGGCCGTTGTGGTCGAAGTCACGCGGCTCGCGGTTGGACGGCGAAGCGGAGAGCGATCGTTGATGCGACATTGCACGGAGCTACAGTCTCGTGGCCTTCGCTGGCTGAGGCTCGCAGGGTAAGAAAAGAAAGGAAATAAAAGAAAAGGCAGCGATGGAAATCCGCACGCGCCAACACACACGCAATGAAACAAAACAAAACAACTTCTATTGTTTATTTTTCTCATCAATACAAAGAGCAACGAGGGAAGAAATCTCGCAGCGCGTCGTGGCTGGCGTTTTGAAATAGGTGGTTCGCGGAACGCGTTGGAGGTCGATGAAACAAGCGGTGAGAGAAAAAGAGGGGGGAGGGAACAGAAAAAACCCTGCAGGCGGTGGATGGGGAGTGGGGGGCGGCCAACACCGGGGAAGTGGCAACGGAAAAGAAAGGGGGGAAAAAACGGATGAGTGGTGGAGTTGTCTTACATTTACTTGTGCCGTTGCACCACCCACCCACCCTCGGTATAACAACACGGTATACGAGAGACACGGTAACAAGGAAAGGAACACGAGCGCCCCAAAAACCCGGCAGAGGAAAATAAGAGAAGTGATTGATAAAAAGGAGGGGGAGAAGATGTACGTGTAGGCGTGGGGGCAAGTGACGTTCGTGGGGGGAGGAGGAGGGAGGGGGGGGGGAGGGGCTTCCTTTCTGTGAATGTATGGAAATGGGCGACAAGAAGGCAGGAGGTACCTCGCGTGCAATAAAGCACGTGCACGGCGAATTACCGGCGAAACGCTGAATGCAAAGCTAACCAAAGAGCTCGTACAGGTGCACAGAACAGCTTGAGCAAACGTGCGACCTTGGTGGGCATCACGATATTGTGTAAAAGAAAAACGGAATATTTGATTCAACCAGAAAAACAAAAAGAAAATACGAGGGCGAGAAGCATGAAGTGGGGCGGTAGATCGATGACACAGCAAGAAAGATTCCATTGAGGGAGGGAGGGAGAGAGAGAGAGGTGCGTGACGCACAACTGTGCTGTGCAACAGCAAACGGTCGTTTCTTCGCGTCTCCGTTGGCTTTCCTCCTTCCTCGGACAGCGAGGTCTCCTGCTGCGAAGCGTGCAGATGTGCACGTGAGCGGAATCGCGAAGCTGAGTCCTCCCGGCAGCTACTCCTTCACCGCAGAAAAGCTACAAAACAGCAGAGAAGGTAAAAGGGGAAAAAACGGCGTTGTAGGGGGAGGAGGGAGGCCTTCCTGCTTTGCTCTACCTGCTGCGGTGGGCTTCTTCCTTCTTCGGTTGTCGTTTGACCTGTACTGCACTTATCCCAACTTCTCGACGGCATCCGCGAAGCGCGAAAGGGTGGAAACACGAATACCGAGCCGAGCCGACCATCTAAACTTATCAAATCCACATAAATACGCATATATATGTATGTAATATAATATTATTACGCATGGCCCGGCGAAAACGGAGCCACCGCACCCGATCATCGACGGCACGAACGTGTCGCACAACACACCAAACAAAGCAATAAACAAAAAAAAAGGTGTTCATTTGAGGCTTTCGACAACGCTTTACTCATCCTCAGCGTCGAACACAACGACAGATGTGCCTTCCACGCCACAGAAGGCGACGCTCGTCACCACGGCGCGCATCTCCACCGTGTCCAGGTCCTCCGCCTCAAGACGCGCGAGCGGGAAAAACACGTCGGAGGACAAGGAAAAGGTGGAGAGCGAAGGAGCGGCACTGGCCGTCTTCGCAGCCGTCGAGGAAGATGACAGCCCTGCTTCTGCGCCAGTCAACTCTACCGAACTCACGCGTAGGGCCAGCTGACGGGTGCGGCTCGGGGACGCCTTCTGCGACACCACACAGCGCACCCACCACTGGTGCATGACACGTACCTCTGCCGAATCACCGTTGTTGTCGCCGCCATCGCCGCTGCTGCTGCTGGTGCTCGCTGCTGCTCGTCGTGGTGGGGCCCATCGCATCTGTGCATCGATGTGGATGATCATGGCGAGTACGCCGTCCATCTCCTCCACACGGCCCTTCGCCCGCACCGCCACGACACGCGGCACTCCGCCCGCCTCCTGCACCGCCGCCTGCGACGTGCGCCGCGCTGTGGTCGCCGCAGCAGCATCCGCACCTGCGGCGCTCCCTGACGCCACGACGAGCTCGCTGACGCACGACTCGAGCTTCGTCACGGCCACGTCGGGTGCGTCCTGGAGCTCCTCCAGCGTGCACGTTGCTCCAATCGAAGTGAGTGCGCTGGGTGACGAGAAGAGCGGGGCGCGCCAGCACGGCAGCTGCAGCACCGCCGGCTCACTCTCCCACAATTGCTGATGAAGAGCTGACGTAAGCCGTATAAGCCGCGCCACGGCCCAGGCCTGCGTGTCGCCGTCTAAGAGCTCCACCACAGCAGACACAACGTGGCGGACCGCAGGCAGCAGGGTGCGAAGGTCCTCCACCAGACGCTCCGCCAAGTCTGCCGAAACGGCGTTGCACAGCGCGGTGCGTGCGTCACGGCTGACCGCGGCGCGGTAAAAAACGTGGCCGTGGTGGGCATCGAAGGCGCTGGTTTTCTCCGCCTCTGCGCCTCCGTCTGCAGCGAACACCTCCGATGCGAAGAAGTACGATGCAGGAAACAGGCGGCAGCAGTAGGCGAGGAGGAGCAGATACACCTTCGTGCCGGCAGCGCTGAAGTCGATGTCGATGTAGCGCACGCCCAGGGAGTCTGGAAGAGCCCGTGCGAGCGAGTGCAGCGCGCGGTACTCTGCCGCCTCCGTCACACGGGCGGCGTCGCCGAGGTGGGCAGGAGTGAGCTCCTCACAGTGGTAGGCGAGCATCCGCCAGAGGTACGTGGTCGTGTCGTGGAGCGCCGCCTTCTTCTTTTCGGATTCGAGCGAGCCGGGCAGCACGCGCAGCAGCTCCTCTGCTGTGCTGACGGCGAGGCAGTGGTGGGCAAGAGCGAGCCCACGGACGGTAGGTCGCAACGGCGCGTGCGGGTCCTCCTCGTCTTCCGCCTCCTCCGCCTCATCGGCCGCCTCTTCGTTGTCGTGGTGGACGCGCAGCTCCTCCACACAGCCCAGCACCTTCAACGCGTTCACCACGTGCGAGGCGACACTAGAGGCGTACAGCGGGACATCCGCGGCGGTCGGCACGCCGTAGAAGTGCAAATTGGACTTCACGTGATGAAGGAAGTAGTGAGAGGAGAGCACGCGCAGCACGTCCGCCCGGCTCGCCGCCCGCCCCTGCGCAATCGCCGCGTTCACCGCGTCGCGGAAGTCGTCGGCGTAGCGCAGGCCGGACTCGAGTGGCAGAGGTTCGTTTAACAACTTCCCCCACACCCACACCCGGGGGCTCCGGCAGTACAAAACCGCCTCATTCACCGCCCGCGTGCACATCTGCATCACCTCCACCGCCGAGCAATCGGCGTACGTCATCCCCCGCTCCCCGTCCTCGCTCTCGACGGTCGCAAGACGCTCGCCGCAGCAGATAACGGCGTTGGTGAAGAGCGCCGCCGGCAGGCGCCAGGCCGCGTCGAAGGTGCACACGAGCAGCAGCGGCAGCGTCGCCTGCGTCTCGGCGTGCAGGGCGGGCTGATCCACCAGCTCCTGTATCGTAAGGGCGTCCAGCTCACTCGTGCGACGGTGCAAGTAGGCCACACCCGCGGCGAGGTACACGGCGAGGCGCGGGTCATCGGTGGCGTGCTCCGTCGTCTCGGGGATGTAGTTGTCACGGCACCGCAGCAACACACGCTGTGCCATGTCCTTTGCCTGCCGAGTCGTCGGCACGAAGATGACGGTCGGCACGGCGGCGTAGGCGGGTCGGCGCAGTAGTTTGATCGCCGCCACTGCACCGCTCTCGTAGCGACTGCGCGGCCCCGGCAGCTCCACGCCGACGAGCCGCACACGCAGCTGCCGGTACGAGTTGCCGTAGTTGAACTGGTGTGTCGCTGACACCTTCAGCCAGCGACCGACCTCCGCGGTGCTGATCAGCGGGTAGGTCAGGCCAAGAATCCGCGCCCGCCCGGTGCCGTGGCGCACGAGGAACGGCTCTGCGTTGAGGCGGGCCATGCACTCCTCCATCGCCTGCCCTTCTGAGGAGCGCAGCAAGTGGAGGTGGTCAACAACAATGTGGGTCACGCCAGCCAGCGCGGCATCACCGCGACGCACCAGGCGGATCAGCTGCTCGCCGGTCGCGAGAATGATGGTGGCGGAAGCCAACTTCGTGGCGCCTGCATCGCCTCCATCATTATTGGTGCCACCGCTGCTGCTGCTGCCGTCACCAGCCGTCAGCTCCACCACCCGCTGCTTCAGCACCTCGCCAAACTTGTAGCGCCAGTCCAGCGCGCGGCGGTGCACGACGTCTGCGTTGCTCGTCAAGTACAACAGCTTGCCAGGCAGAAGCGACGCAGCAGCAGCATCGGCACCGTTCCCATCGTCTTCTCCCTGTTGTGTGCCTGGCAGCGCCCTCGATTGCCGCTCCGCCTCCTTCACGGCCTCCTCCAAAAGAAACTGTAGAACAAAGAGTTCGGCGAGCACCGTCTTGCCGCTGCCCGGGGGGACGCCTACGAGGAGGTTGCGCGGGTGGTCGAGCAAGATGGGGTCGACCAGGTCGGACTGCAGGGCGGTGAAGTTCTGAAACGGAAAGATCTGCTCGCCGACGGCGTGCAGCTGAAAGGCGGCCAGGCGCTCCGCTACCGCGCTGCCACTCGTGTCCGGTGAAGGGGGCCGCTGGTCCACCTCACGCAGCGGCGCCGCCACCGGTGGCAGAAGAGTGTTCAGCAGGCAGACAGAGGCCGTGGCGGAGGCGCCGAGCCAGTGCGGCGACACCACACGCGCGAACAGATGCGTCGGTGTGGGGTCCACCATGGGCACCACCACCGGCGGGCAGGCGTAGCTCGCACGCTGCTGCACGTTCGCCAGCGGCAGCAGCACGGCCTCGTGGTGCAGCAGTCGCCCGTTTGTGTGCTCGATCATGAGCACCACCTCACACACGGAGCGGCCGTGCACCGTCTCGACGTAGTCGAAGTCGGCGAGGATGTCGACGTCGATGTAGAGCATGCCGCGCGTCAGTGGACGCACCGCCGCCTCTACCGCGTAGTGCGGCACGACGTGGATCGCCTCGTACGCGGACTGCGCACGGCGGTCGTCGCTCAGCCGCTCCGCCAGGTCCTCGACGCTCCAGCTGCGGATTTCCTCCCATGGCACTCGCACCCGCTCCAGGGCGGACAAGATGGACTCGTAGTGCTTCACGGGCAGGTAGTCGCGCACCTGCCGCAGCGGCGACTGCACCGTCCACTGCCGATGTACCGTCATTAAATAGAGATTGAGAAATTGGCGCGCAGTGCGGCCGTACTCGCGGACGAGGCAGATGTCGTACAAGGCTCGCAGAATACGCTGGGCGGAGTCTTTCACGTACACCATCTCGCTCATCAGCGGCAGCCCCTCCAGCTCCTTCTGGCTGATGAAGCACTGCAGCAGAATGTTTATCTTGGCGAGCGGGGTGTAGCGCGACTCCCGCACCGCGACCGGCGCGCTGTCGAGCAACTCCTTCAGCTGCGCCTGCTCCTCTGCTCGCACGCCGATGTTGGCAAACTCGCTCGACGCGGAAAAGACGCGGAACAGCTCCACGTCCTGCATCGCGTTGCTCATTAAACCCAAGTAGGCCGCCATCGAGGTGGTGGTGATGTAGCAGTAGGAGGCGATGCGGCCGTAGGCGGTGCCGCTGACCCGGCGCGCCCGGGCATCGTAGTCGGCCATCTTCGACGCCCTCAACTCCTCACAGGCGGTGTGGACAATGTTGGCGAGGTGGTGCAGCAACAGTGGATCGCTTGCGGTGGGTCGGATGCCGTACACCTCCGGCACCTGCCGCATGCGCACGTAGAGGTACGACCGCTGCAGCCACTGCACGCCCTCCTCAACCGTCTCAACGTGGCCGAGGGTGATCTCGGCGTTTAGCATGTCCACGACACGCTTCATCATCTGCGACTCAATCGGGAGCTGTTGGTTGAGCACACTGAGGTAGTAGTGCAGGTCGTCGGGGGAGGTGATGATGGTGGCGCGGCCGAGCGCGGCACCGAAGCCGACACGCCCGGCACGGCCAAACATCTGCAGCACGTCCAGCGCACTCAGCAGCTCCGACTGCCCTTTCGCGCCGTTGAAGACGCGCGTGCCTTTGATAATGACGCGGTTCGCAGGCAGGTTCACACCCCAGGCCAGCGTAGAGGTGCAGACGAGTACCTTGATGTGGCGCTCAGCGAAGAGCTGCTCCACGGTGCTGCGCTCCTCGCGGCTGAGGCCGGCGTGGTGGATGCCGAAGCCGTCGGGCAGGAGCTGCTGCAGACTGCGCCGCAACATCGCCCCGTTGGCGCCGCTGCTCGCCTCCTGCAAGGCCTTGTGGCTGTTGCTGTCCGGCTGCACAAAGTAGTAACCGCGGTGCTCCTCCGCTGCCCGCTTCTGCAGGTAGCGCGCCGTGAACTCCGTCTCGCGTCGCGAGTGGACGAAGATCATGACCTGCTCCTCCGCCTGCACCGTCTGAAGCACCTTGTCGTAGGCGACCACGTTCATCACGGCGCTCTGGGCAACGCCCTTCACTTTCTTCGTCGCGCAGTACGTCTGCTCAAGCGGGATGGGGCGGTAGCTGCTGTCGAACACGAACAGCCCACGCTGGCGGTTCACCTGCAGGAAGGTGGCCACGTCGGCGTAGTTTGGCAATGTGGCGCTAAGGCCAACGATGCGAATACCCGCTTCGCCGCGGAGTTGCTGCTGCAGCAGTGTACGGGCCACAATCGCCTCCAGCACCGGTCCACGTTCGTTGTGCAAGAGGTGCACCTCATCTAAAATCAGCAGCTTTAACAGCGAGGCCACACCCAGCTCGACGGACTTGCGCGTCACGATATCCCACTTCTCGGGTGTGGTGACGATGAGCTGGGTGGTGGCCATTTGCTGCTGGGTCATGGCGGCATCGCCAGACAACTCCGCCACCGTCAGGCCCAGCGGCTCTAACCGCCGCGAGAAGGTGCGCACGACTTCCTGCACCAACGCCTTCATCGGAGCCACGTACACCATTTTCAGGCTGTGCCCGTCAATCACGCCGGTCGTGGTGTTGCGTGCGGCGTCGATGGCGCGCAGCATGGCCATCATCGCCACGTTTGTTTTACCCGCCCCGGTCGGCGCGCTCACGAGCATGTTCTCGTCGGAGTGAAACGCACACTCGTACACCTTCGACTGCACGGCGTTGAGGTGCGTCATCCCCGGAAAGGCAGGGAGAGCCCAGCCGGGGAACGACGACTCGACCGAGACGGGCGGCGTGGTGGTGTTGTACTGCGAGCTGGGCGGGAGAATCACCTCGTCGTGCGTCTCGTACGTCAGCCGCTGCGTCCCTTGTGGGACGGTGGCCCGCACGTGCAGGTGCGGGGTGCGCTCATCTTGAAAGGCGCACGCCTGCAGGTCCACCCGTCGCAACGTCGGCTGCCTCGCAGCGGCGAAGGGAGACGAAGCAGACGAGGAGGCCGCCTCTTCATTTCCATGCACTCCCTTGTCGACTGCGCCGGGCTGAGCATCACCGTTGTGGCGAGGCGGCGGCAGTTCCAGCATGTGCAGCGGGTCCACCTCGTTGCCGGTGATGCTCTGGTACAGGTGCTCCACCCGCGAGTCGTCGAGTGCGTGTTGCCGCATCGCATCCATTACCGCGTAGCGCTCCTTCTGTGTGCCACACTGCGCGTACCGCAGGCCGTAGACAACGCTCCACCGCGACTGCACCACGTCGCCGATCCAGTCCATCACCGCCTCATCCTCGTAGCCGCCAAGACACGTCGTGAGCTGCGTTTCAAGCGTGAAGTCGTCCTCGTCGCGCTGACTTAAAAAATCAATCACACGTTCGGCGAGGGATTGACACGTCTCCGCTTCGTGTGCGGGAAACAGGCGGCGGACGGCGTCCTTGATGTACTGCGGGTTGCACGCGACCTCGTCGAAGGCGATCTTCGGCGTGTCCGTCAAGCCGAGCCCGCCTTCGTCGTCGTCGTCCTCCGTTGCGACCACGTCTGCCGGGGCAGCTCCCGCGGACGCACTCCACGCCTCCGCCTCCTCCACCGTGTCGGCGATCCCCCCTTCTTCCGTGAAGGCGTACTGCGTGAGGTTCTGATCCGCCTGCATGAGTGCCCTGCGCTTCTTCCGCCGCTCCTTCCTCTCCGCGGCGGACTCCACAGCCCCGCCTGTCAGCACGCTGATTGTGCGTCGCTCCTCTGCATCACCCGCCTCTGAGTCGCTGCTGCTGCTGCTGCTGCTGCTCGGACCGGCAAAGTCCAAATCATCCACGCCCAGCGCCGCAGAAGAGGTAATGGCTGCTCCGTAGATACCGCCGCGGCCCTCCGCGTCTCCCTCCGGCGAGCTCGCCACGTAGTCGGTGATCAGCTTGCCGTAGTGCAACAGGTGATCCCGCACCTCACGGGAGAGCCGGGTGTCGAGCAGACGCTCCAAACTCTGCTGCAGCTCGTTGATGGTGTTCGGGGTTGCCGCGGAGGCCGCGGAGCCGGCGGCAGTGCACACGATGGCGAGAACCTGCTCCGCCACCTCCTCCACATCGTCGTCCACGCCAGGCGGGAGGTAGCGTCGCAGGTCTTGCAGAAGCCGCTCGTAGTACGTCTTGGTGACGTCAGAGTGCGGAACGTAGCGGGAGGCGGAGGGCAGTCCTCCGCCCGTACGCCGACCAAAGGACATGGTTGAATAACAGTAACTATTTAAAAAGAGATGGGCCGTACAAAAAAAAAGCTTAGAAAGAGAATGATAGCGCCAAGAGCAGATGACGTGAACGCTTTCCCGCCTGCCTCTTATCGACGTCTCTTGCACTGCTCCCCTGACGGATCTGTCTCACCTTCACGAAATAAACAACTAAATCAAAGCGTACGAGTACGTAGGGATACACACACGCACATCAGATAATGTTAAGACATATTTATTCATTTGATTAATTTTTTTAAGGGAAGAAAGAAAGAGAGGGAAAGAGAGAAGCTGTAGTAATGCGTTGGCCCAACTGGAACAGAAAGATGGCGGCGCCGAGAAGTTATCGGGGTCAGCGACTGAACTGCACAGCTGCGCTGCAGAGGGAGAACGGAGATGACGATGACTGCCTGCGGCGTGCGGCTCCTCCTTTCAGTAGAGGGCGTCTGGCTACGCCACCATTTTCAAACCGGAGAAAAAAAAAAAGAGGAATACAAAAATGACTCCGAAGGTTTGTGGGACGCAGGAAAGATATGGGCCACCGCGGCGCTTTACTGCCAAAAAAAAAGCGTATAACGTATTCGATGCTGGAGTCCATCATCACACGGCTTGAAACGTGCGCTTGTGAACACCGCGGGTTAGGCATATTAGACGGCCTCTTGACTGTTGCAATATTATTCTTATTTGGTGCATGTGTGTGCTCCACGCCGTGCGTTTCGGCTGGGATGGACCAACTGCGGCATCAACGAGAACAACAGAAAAAGTGGAGGGGCAAACTATACGAAGAATTGGTAGAAATATGGTGCAAGATGAAGCAATATATCAATATATATATTTACTTTAAAGAAAGGGAAAAGCAAAAGCCGCCCGATCGCACACACACGACAACAGCACTCCAAAGCGCGCCACACAACGGTGAGCACGACAGATTTCTACGGGAAAAGACCCAAGGAGCCAGATGAGACGTAATACCGCATCGCAACTGAATGAAGAAATCGAAAGCATACATATATGAGAGGAGGAGCTCAAGAAGACAATGAATCACAACACCAAAACAAAAGTGCACCTACCGCAAAGAAAAAAAAACGAATAGCAAGAGTACGCTCCGTGCACGCGCAGAGATCGATAGAAACGCGCCTGTTTTTCCTTTGGTGCAGTCACCTGGGCGGGCGCGAGTGCCGCGACAACCCGAGCGCCTACTCGGCTAATCCTCCTTCTTGTCCTTCGTCTGCCGAATCTCTAACCACTGGCGCAGCCGCTGCATCGCAGTCTTCTCCGGAGCCACCTTCGACAAGAGCAGCGCCCTCTGCAGTCCACCCACCGCCTTTATCCCTTTTGTAAAGGTAAACAGCACCGCTACCGTCCACAGCACACTGAGCCACCAACGCGTGCACAGCACAAAGTACGTGACGGGCACAAGCCAGTAAAGCGGCACCAGAACAACACCGAAGGGACCGACTTGCTGATAGTAGCGCCGCCACTGAGACCGGTGCGGGTGGCGGACTTGCTCCTCGTCGCTGTCGTAGCAGGACAGACCCAGCTGCGTGCTCAGCACCGCCTTCACGTCCGCCGCATCGAAGCCGACTGGGTTAGACACGTAGAAACGCGAGAGAAGCTGCTCCTTCTCGGCAAAGCGCTCGTGCGTCCACGCCGCCATCTTCGCCTCATCCGCCGGGACCACAGACGCGGGATTTGCGCGGGCGGCCGCCTCGGTGCCCTCGAGGACGTAGCGGCGCAGCAGCAGGTGTACTTTCTTTGGGTGGTGACCGTTGATCAGCGAGGGCTCGTTCGGCCGCTCCCCCGGGGCGTGGTAGGTGTAGCCAATCGTGAAGTCCAGCACCTCCTCCACCTTCTCCGGGCCGCCCAGCATCTTCACAACTGCGATGAGGCCGGTGGTACGGGGATTCAGTACGTGGTGGAACTTGGGCAGCCCCGCCTTCGCCGCGTAGGCCTGCGAGCGCTCCACATTGCTCGGCGACAGGTCCGTGCCTTCTGGAAAGATGAACACCACCGGCGTGTCCTTGGTGTCGTGGAAGAACTGCACCATCCCCTCGATGTACTTCGCGTCATTCTCCCAGCTGCGGGACAGGAAGAGGTAGCGAAACATCTCCATGGTCCAGCCCAGCACCGGCAGCTGCCTCAGCTCCCCCTTCAATACAAACCGGACCTGCTGCACCATCCCGCGCGTGCGGGCGAAGAAGAGAAGCATGTACAGCCAATCCAGCCGGCAGTGGTGGTTCATGATAATTATCTTCGCCCTCCCGGGCGTCGACGGTGGACGGAGGAATTTGTCGAGGTCGACGTACTTCTCCGCTCTGCCGTCTTCGCTGCGGATGGCCGTCGTGTAGTGCTGCTCCAAGTGCTCCTGTCCTTCGTCGTCGACGATGGTGTACGCGACGCGGGTCCCCAGCCCGAACTCCAGCAGCCCACCCACCCATGAGAAGTAGGCGCGCTGGAGGAAGTTGTGGTAGGCGGCGCTCAGCCTGTAGCACAGCCGCATCGGGCCCTCGCCGAAGATGTACTTGACGGTGAAGAGGGTCAGGTAGACCCACATGCTCGCGACGAGAAAGTTTGTCACGGTGACGGCGAGGCACCCCGCCAGCGTCAGGCCACCGCGCAGCGTGACCTTCATCGTTTCTCTCGTTCGTTTCTTTTCGCTGTAGCACAAAAAGGGGAAAAAAGGGGGAAAGGAGTGGGGCGGGCTCAAACACCGGTTTTCTTTTAAAGGGAGTGTTTCTACGGATAGAGTGAGGAGAGCGCGGGTGTTGGCAAAAGGACACACGATGGGGAGAGAGGGGGGGGGGAAGCAAATGGAAAAAAAACTGTGAGACACTGAAGTGCTGGGCATGGAAAAAAAAAAAGTGCAGAAGCCCACCGCGTGAACTCGGTTTAAAGGAAAAGAAAACTTGGACGTTTGACGTTGGTTCCGCTCCACTGTTTCTCTACGGCTGCCGATTACAAAACACGAACATGTCTATTACGAGTTCTAAGTCCGGCGAAGTTTCAATATCATCCGATTAGACTGGGCATCACGCTCATAACATCTTAAAGAGACCTGGTTAAACCCGAGACCGGTATCTCCCTCTGCTTACTTCCGTTTATTCATTTTTTTCTTTCAAGACTTATGTCGAGGTACGGACAGGTCGCACCGTGGAATTCTACATTGAAAAGGCTATAAGCCAGCCATACATACGCCAAAGAGAAAAAAAAAGCGCAAGAGCAACGACCGCACTAGTGTACATCAGAAAGCCGCAAATCTCCTTCTTCTTTTGGTGCGTATGCGAAATACGTCCCACGCAGGTGCGCAGCTCCCTTGCCTCGACCTTTGCAGAGTGCCGTCTACACGACGCGACCAGTCATGCGCGCCACCCTCTCCTCTGCGCGCCGCTTCACCTCACGTAGCTGCTCCGCCTCCTTACCCGCCACCGCCGTCTCCATCTTGCACCGGAAGACCCGCTGCTGCACGCCGCCCATCATCGCCTTCTCCTCATCAGGCGTGAAGCCGCAGAAGCGAACATCCAGTTCGACAAGTGACTTGTTTGCACCCACGGCGTCGCACAGCACCGCGCCGCCCTCCGTGTGCTCCATGTCAGCGGCAGCAGCACCTGCTACTTCCTTCTTGCCTTTTCCTGTGGAGCCCTCTCCGGCATGGGCCACCTCGAGGGTAATCATCGTCGTGGACTGCCACCGCGGCTCCGAACCTTTCGGCGTGTCCGGACCGGCCACCATCGTCACCGAGGCCGTAGCGGCGTCGTTGTCGGCGTCCGCAACGCTGTCCTTGACAGACTCGCACGCCACACTGCCAGCGGCCGTCGGCGCGGCGGTGTCGTTCACCGCTACAAGAAAAGACGGGGCGCTCCGGATCGCAACAGCAGTCGTAGAACCTTCTGCAGAAACCGGTGTGCCGGGGCCAGAGGAAGGAATCTTGGCGCCGGCCAGCAACGAGTTCCCTGCCACACGCAACACACTCAGTCTGCTGAGTCGTGGCAGGACACTCGCGAGCGCGCTCAGGGTGCTCTTGCCTAGCCTGTTATTGGACAAATTCACATCGACCAAGGTGGGTTGCACGGACAGGGCCTGCACCAGCAGCGCACCACCCTCTGCGTCGCCTATACAGTTCTGTTGGAGGCTCAAAATACGCAATGTTTTGTTCAGTTGCAGTGCCTCTGCCAGTGCCGACGCGGCACCGTTCCCGAGCCTGTTGTCCTGCAGGTACAGCTCCTCCAGCGGGAAGTCGGGGCGGGAGAGCAGCACCGCCACCGCCCCCGCCACCGCCACATCGGTCAGCGCGTTCTGCGACAGGTCCAGCACCCGCAGCGTGGTGGAGTGGACGAGGCCGGCGGCGATCATCTGCACATGTCGATCCTGTAGCCGATTCAGCGGCAGGCGCAGACGTTCAAGGGAGCTGTAGTGCCGCAGCAGCTGCCGCATCCCGGCAGCGTCGTCGTCGCGGAAACCGATCATGTCCGACACCCCAACCCGCACCCCGCGCTTCGCCACGCCGTAGGTGAGACGGAACGAGAGAATGCCCGGCACGTGGGCAAAGAGGTGCTCGTGAAAGCGGAAGTGCACGAGCTGGCAAGGCAGGTCGACGGTGTGCACGTAGTCGCGGCAGATCGCACACAACTCGCGCAAGGCGGTCACGGCAGCGTCGTCGCGAATGAGGTCGAAGCGGGTGGCGTCGGCGTCGTACGCCGTGCATGTTACAGCAGCGCCCAACGCCGCCGGCCCTGCGTAACGCACCGCACCGGGCGCCGTCAGCGCCGTGGCAGGCAGCAGGCCTCCCTCCTTGTCCGCGCTCGTGCTGCCGAGAGACATGAGAAAGTCGCAGAGGACACGCTCTAAGAAAAGTCGCTTCCACCCGTACTCTTTGCCCAGCAGCTTCTCCCCTGCCACCATGCGAGACAGCTGCCCGAGCGGCCACCGCGCCTCGCAACACCGCTGCCAGTACCGCTCGTCCATAATGCGGGGGACGGTGATGCGCAGGGGCAGCATTGTCGCCGGGTCCGTTGGCAGGCGCTCAAGCACCATCGCGTAGAGGTCGGGCTGCTCCTCGCGAAGTCCGTCCACCTCGCAGTTATCGGCAAAGTCGTCGGCAAGTCGCTGTGCGGCCATCTCCTGGAGCGAGGAGGTGAAGTAAGAAGGTGCCACCTGGTCCTCCGAGGCCCCCAGCGTTACCAGCGCGTTCGAACGCAGCTGCTCCTGCGTGCGGATCTGGTGGAACTCGCTCTCCGCCGCCGCCGGGTTGACGGGGACCCGCTTCGCGCGCAGTGTGACGTTCATTGCGATCTAAAGTATATCAGTGCTTTGGTGCTGTTGTTTTTTCGTGTGTGTTTTTTTTTTTGAAGATGGTAGCAGGAGGTGGTGTTGCTTGGGCGTCCCGCCGCCTGTTTTGCTCTCTGGCACAAGAAGAAGAAAGTTTGAGTGCACTTTTGTCGTCAATTAGCACGACACCATTTTTATGCATGGAGGGGGGGAGGAAGAGGAAAGGACAATGAGAGAGTTGAAGGAGTCAAAGAAAGAGGGTATGCACGGCATGTTTTCCCAGTTGGGAGAACGCAGCACAGCACAACTTTTCGTGTGTGTGCGTGTGTGTGCGTGTATTTAGTTTGTTTCCGCTGATGTGCGCGAGGCGGTTCATACGTCGACCTACCTCAACACCCACTCCGCTCATGTTTTTCGCTGTACGCGCAACGCCAAAGCAAACACCTGTACATCAGCACTGCTTGCCTTGGTCTTTCACAAGCTTTTGATGTTCCTTTTTCCCTCTCTCTCTAGTTGTTTCTTTGCCTTTTCTCCGCTACTACGCGATTGCGTCGAAGCTAACAGGCAGGGATCGTACCGGGGCGTTTAAGTTTCGCGAAGAGGGAAGAAAAAAGGAGGGGGAGGAGGAAAACGATCGTCACCACTGTCATCATTAATTTTATTTTTGCATGAGTGTATGTGTGTGTGTGTGCAAAATAGGAGAAAGCAGGAAACAACGAAACGGGGACAACGCAGGCAACGCCCAACGGAGAAATGGGTAAAGGGGAAAAGGGAAGCGTTGAGGGGCTTGAAAGAAGGCTGCACCGTGAACAGTAACGAAAATAATAATAACAATAAATAGAAAGAAGAAAGAACAGATTAGATATCATGTCTCATCAACAGTAAAGCAATCGACGGTAGTTTTGCACGAGTGTGCACAACTGGGCCGGCGGGGGGGAGAGAGAGAGAGGAGAGACGGAATTTCTCATCGCAAATTCACCCCCTCCCTTCTCTCTTCTCCCGTCTCTTTTATGCCCCATTTCAGCAGCAACCCACAAAGGAAAAAAAAAGACTGATTGTTGGTGACCCCCGTAAACAATAAAGTCGTAAAGGAACTTCAACAAGAAAAAAAAGCAAGGTGGTATCGTGTCGGCTTCACTGTGTGTGTGTGTGTGTGTGTGTGTCTGTGTGTGTTCTCTTTTGTTAAGTTTTCTTTTTCTGCGCCAACCAGACTGTGGAGATAAGCATGACGTACAGCAGAAATGACCGCGCACGCACACATGTATGTGCAGCAGTCAACCGAGTCTGGGGAAGGCGGCAGCGGCCGACGTGCTTCGTTGCAAAGTCTTACTGCGGAGTGAGGACAATCGTGTGAGAGTCGGTGGTCAACGTCACCTTGCCGCCTCTCAACTTGTACGCCATACCACTGTCACAGCCGTGCGAAAGCGCTCTCTCCAACTCCATCTGCGTCTCGGTTCCGTACATCATCGTGGAGATAACCAGTCCCTTGAGGACGTGGTTCTGGTCGTGCAGATCGCCGGACATGACGTTGGCCACCTTTGCGTGCAAGCCCATCATGCCGATTTCACCTTTTGTAAACACCACCGTGGCGTGCTCCGTGAAAGGCGCGCTGTCGAACTCCTCCACGTTGTACTTGTCGAAAAGAATAGACATCTTCATGGGCGTGTGTGAGGTTGTGAGCAGTTGATGTTGCTGGTACGGTTGCTTATACCGCTGCTTTTGTGTGCGAACAGTGAATAGCGACCGGATGCTTGTTTTAGACAGTTTCAGGGGGATGAAAGAAAAAGAAGGTAGATAACTTGAGCAGCTTGGATTTTGTTCTGAACACACTGTTTTCGCGCACGTGATACGGTGAAGTCGCAAGAAAATGTGTATTTGGTATCGTTGTAGAATTAAAGGATAACCGAAGAACGGTAAAGAGAGGGAGGTTTGTTTTAGAAAAGGGAAAAAAAAAGGCGTATCATTAGGAAACAGTTGTTACAACTAAGAACAAACACGCGAAGGGAAAGAAAAGAAGATAAGCCCGTGCATGTACGTGTGCTTGTGTTGGTTCCGGCTTTATCAACGGTGAACGCGAACCGAAACAAAACAATTCTTTTCTTTGTTTTTAAAGGCTGTCAAAGAATTGCAAGCAGACACTCCTCAGCAACGGTCAGCCTGTGCCAATAACAAACTGTAAATACCATTATGCAGTGGATGTTTTGATGATTCGAATCGATGGCAGCAAACAAAATGAAGATATAGAATAGTGATAAACGAGAGACCCCTCGCTTTTCTCATCGTACTCAGGATTTGGTGTGTTTGCAGCACCTGGAGTTCTACTTTGGTTGACAAAGCCGAAAGGCAAATACATTCAAAAAAGAAAGCAAAACGCTTACAGCACCGCATTTTCTTTCTACTGCTGTGATCCTTGTACTGGCTTTCGTTTGCATGAGCAGGGTTTTTTTATTTCTACTCCGCTGCCCACTCCAGCGAACCTGTCTTGCCTGTCATTTTCAGCACCTTGTCCTCCAGCGTGTACGCCACTCCTTCCATGAGGTCACTGCCCAGGATGTGCTCCACCGTCATCTGCGCCGGCGTGCCCATCATCCGCGTAGACATGAGAGGCCCCTTCAGCTTGCCGTCCTCGATGGAGACGACGCCGTTCATAGAGTTGGCCACCTTCACGTGCAGACGCAGCTTGTTTGCGTTGTCAGGAGCTGCCTCCAGGCGCAGCACCACTGGCGCTGGTGTCTCAGGTGCCTTACCATTCACGCGGATCAGCTTGTACTGACCCACCAAAGACACAGGGCCGCCGCTCATGCTTGAAGTGAAGAGCGAGAAGAGAAAAATGATTTTGGTTAGAAAATCGAGCACACTGGATGGAGAGAGGGATGGTGCTTCGAAACGGGAAGTGGAGAACAAATGAAATGACGATGAGTGACATCACAAGGCAGGAACTGCGCAAGAGAATGAGTCACACCGGAAGGCTGAGCACTTACGAGGCACTTAAAATGGGGAGCTTCATTTTCAACAACAAAAAAGAACTGAGAAAAAGAGTGCTGCTCAAGACGATAGTCGTTCTTGGTTGCTTCAAAACCACGACATTCGTTATTATTTTTTTGTGTTCAGTACTCCGACTAATTCCTCTTCTTTGACACTTTCACTCTTCCAAATGATGCCTTTCAAGCTCATGTGCTAAGTGGTAAAAAAGAAAAAAAAGGCATTCCAAGCTCCATCGCGCAAACAAGAAAAAAAAAGGAAAATAGTCATGCAATAACATCTAACAGAGAGGCGGGAATAAAAACTACCTACATCGTGTGTTTTCTCCACCTGAAAGTGTAATTACCGAGTACGTCAGGAAGCTGTCACAAAACAACAATAAAAAGAACAGCTTATGGCCGCCAGAGCCAACGCAGAACGCCAACCGCTAGCGCTACGCAGGAGGCAGTACCAACGCACAGAGATGCCATCGTTACGAACGTCGCAGGCAACGAGCGCAGCGCTGATACTTTGTGGCGCTTGTCTCCTGACGAACCTGTTGCGCCAGCTGAGCCGCCAAGCCGTGATTTGCTTGCCTCGTTAAGGAGCGGGAAAATCCGTTGGCTAATCGCATCGTACGGTTGCACAAAGGCAACTGGAAGATAGGCAAGCCGGAAAACCACATTTTCGTCGAACACGTCATGCGGTGCGTTTTGCTTTTCAGCATTTTTGCTGTCCTCAACGGTTGTGCACACGCCGTCCTTCTGTCTGCCCACGGCGCACACCTCCATCCACGTTGTGCGACCCTCAAAAGGTAACTGAGGGCTGATTGGGCGAGCATCTAGCAAGACTCCATCAAAAAGACCGTTCTTTGAAGGCGGTAGGTTAAGGGCTACCGTGAGCACCAAATTAGTCGTCGCGGAGGCATCGACTACCTTCCCGCTTTCAGAAGTTTGGGCAGAGAGAGCGGCATAAAGAGCGCGCAGCGTGCGGACAATGCTGCTGCGAGCCCAAGTTCTGCACTCCTCATTCGCTCTAAAGTGATGATCAGTTGACAAAAACAGAGCCGTCATGTCGACCTCGGCACCGAGTTGCTCGACGAGACCCACGTCTCCGTGGAAGAAAAAACCGCGAATGGTAATCGTTGTCCGCAACCTCTCGGGGTTGACAAAAACTAAAGTATCCCTGTCATCGCCGCAAAGTCGAAGTCCATCGGCAACGGTTGCGTTGTATGTCGCATTGGCTGCGCCTGCTACATGCTTAGGCCACATGTTATCAACAAAGCACGCGCGCGACATTGCAACAGCATCGTATAATTCGGTGTTATACAGGGACGTCATCCATGCGATTCTTCGCGTTAGGCTGTCAAACGCAGATTCATCGTTTTCAGAGTAAGCGAAGTTGTCTGCTGCGGTGACAATAAAAGAAACTTTTTTCTCTAAACTAGCGAAGACATTTGCATCTACTTCAGCGGGTGTGGTACACAGGAATCCGTTTCCAAAACAGCTGAACGCTGCTTCAGCGGTGGAGGGGTGTGTATTGGAGCAAGAGTACACGCGGTCCACGACTTTGGTAAATGCTTCCTCTGACGCGCTCGTGGCATTTTTCCAACCTAGCCAGACGTGCGTGACACTCTCTTCGCCGTTCAGCGCCAAAACACTGTCAGGCAGCCAACCGCGAAACTTGGCCGAGTCGGCCTTTTCTAGTTTTTCAACCCACCAAACCTTGCTTTTCGATGTTGAGCCTGTTACGCAATGTGGTGAGCTTTGCTCTCGGTGTGCTGATGCAGCGTTCGCTGAAACGTCAGGAGAGGATGCAGCAGAAAAAACGTGCGGTTGCTCCTGTTTCGCATGCTTTGATACGTATTCCATATATTGCGAGTTCCTCAGAGCCGCGAGCTCAGCTTGATCGACCGCAGCTCGCAGATGCAAGAGCTTTGCGTGTTCATCAATCTCGCGATGCACAAAACCTGATAACACGCCTTTCAAGGACTCATTTCGCTGTTGATAGTCTCGTAACAGTGCCTGGATGCTTCTTGCCTCGTCAACAATTTTTTTTATGCTATCATCACTAGCTTGTGCTGTCGATGATGCCGATGTGATCTCTGTGGGTGCCGATGAAGAGGCTTCTAAATCTTGTGGTTGCATCAACGTGTCTGAAGATAATTTAGAAACAACTGGTAAACAAAAAGCAGAGATACGGATGGTGATGATGGTTTGTAAAAATCTATGTTTGTCCTTGTGTGGCAATGTGCCCAATCACAATTTAAAGAGCGTAATGGAAATGCATGAATACATAGTTTTGTACTAGGGGATGAAGAAAAAAAAAACTGGCAGCCCTTAAACAGTCCTGAGTATCGCGATTCTGTACGCAAAGCATATGAGCTGTCGCTTTGTCTTCTTCAAGTAGAAAAGGGGGGCAAATCTGCCGCTACTCATCTGGCATACATGTCCGGCCGATTTTGCTGCTGCTGCTGCCGTTTATTTTTCTTCTCTTCTTGTCCGTCTTTTCCTAATCGAAGAAGTCAAAACCCTATCTAGCAGCTTAGACAATTAAAAAAAGGTATCTGCTCTCCATTTTTACAGCTACGGAAAACTCTGACTAGCGCAATAATTCGTGAGCTTTTCGTCAGTAACTTGAGTTCAAACGCCCTCCCGATCTCTTGTCATCCGAGACTCGCTAAAAAAGAGGTGAGCTACACGTCACCCAACATTTGAATATCCATTTTTACAGCCGGCAGTCGAGTGCCAGGAGCTCTGCCATCATATTGTCACTTCCTAGTCACAACGTAAGTGCAGCTGTCTATTCGCTCATCCACTTTTACTCACTAAACGACGAATATGCTAATATTCGATGTCTTTGTTTCAAGCGATTCGAACGTTATGGGGAAAAAGGGTGTGCTCTCGTCTTCTTCCAGGGGGAAAAAACTCTCGCACGAAATAGTACATTATAGTATGTCTTAGAGTTCGGCAGATCCCCTCGTTGTCTAATAGCCAAAGCAGGATAGAGAAGACAATTAATGCAGATCAGCGAAAGATTACGACGTGTCAGGCATGCGCAACGAAATTGTTATTTAAGCCGTAGGAAACGAGAAAGAAAACATTGAGATGGAGAAGATAGTAGCCAATAATGTAAGTATTTTCTTGTCAGCATTCACTCTTCTGAGTGTTTAACGAGTGCAAAAAGGGATGTTGCTCTTTCTTTCTCTAGAGCGTGAATTAAAGAAGCTGTATTTTGTGCCTTGGAGCCTCACGCCGTCACTGAACAGATGAAGGAACGAGCATTACAGAAGATGTGTTTCTTTCACGTCCTTCATATCAGTTTGTAGAAATGAAGGAGAGACCTTTCGGCTCTTGTACCTGGTTAGACTCGCTTTTCTTTCCAAATAGTTTGCTTGAACGCTTGTTTGTTCCGCTTGTATTTGCGTACTACTTCTTCATTGGAAACAGTCGATACCCTACTCTTCAGCACGAAACTGGTGCATCTTTGATGTAAGAGAAAAAGTCGACGAAGTTATCTCGTGCACACCAATAAGTGTTGAAAGGCATCAGCATTGAAAACAAAAATGAAAGCTACTGAAGACAAATGCGCATCTTTTCGCATAATAAATCAACAAAAACAAAACAACTTCTTTATGTAATTTTTCTTTTACTAAAAAAATGGAAACGGGGAAAAAAAGGTTTGTACAGGTACAACCTTGTACTTACATAGCATCGAGTGCTCACGGCGTGCACAGTTGCTTTCGAACCAATAAAAGGTATACAAAAGGACAATGGACGAGTAGCAAACTTCTTCAGACACATTCTGCACTTGCGAAACAGAACTAAAATACAAAGAAACGAACAAAAAAAGAAAGGAAATAGTAGCTGGCGATGACGCCTAGGCCATATCGGTGCTCGAAAACTAATTTACCCGTTATCAGGCTACCTTTCAAAAAAAGGAAGAGAAAAATCTCTACAAACTCCCTACAGCACCACGTTACGTTAAAGAAAACCGTTGTATATAAACATCTAAGAGTTGATTCTTTTTTTTTTTCTTATGACGTGAAAGAGGAGGAAAGAGAGGAGAAAAATAGCTTTTGGTGAAACAATGATCATAAAAATAAAAAAAGATCACTATGAAAAACAGCTTTCAAATCGGCTGCGCGTCGTACGTCATCTTGAATCCATTGACGTCGCCGTGAATGAACATCTCCGTGGTCTGTGGGTTGACGGTGACCTCAACAATGAAACGACCATCTTCGTCTTGGTACATTCTCGCGTTGTTCAGCGGCTCAATGGAGGAGCGCGAGCCAAAGCTCGCCTGCACGTGCATACGGTGGTCCTCTGTGTCGTTATAAAAAGCCCACTTCTTTTCGTTCTCGTTGACAATACGGAACAGTAATCCGTTGCCCTCCGTCTTAAAGCACTTGGTGCAATGAGTGCCCTTGTAGGTCGGACCGGTGTTCTGAACTTCTGGAGCTGCGACCCGCGTCAAAACAAATTCGCAGTCCTGATTCTTCAGTGTCAGCTCAGAGCCGCGCGAAATAGCCTCAAGGCCGTACTGAAAGCCCACATTAAAAGCACCTTCCAAATTCGATTCTTCCGTTGTGCCCACTATGCGGGTCGACATTAGCGGCTCCTCAGACGTCAGAATGTTCTGCTCCAGCACCGCGGTGCCGCGAATGCGATTGGCCACGACAATTGAAATGCCCACCTGGTTATCACCCTTCGGGGTAAAAACAACGGTGGGCTGGTTCGTCGTTGGAACAATGTTGCCGTTGAAGGATTTGAGAACGTACTCGCCCTCCAGATCCTTTTGGCTTACAATCTGGCACAGTTGAATGCTCCCAGCGGAAGACTGCAGAAGAATACCAGATTCGTTCTTGTGGATCTGGAATCCGTCGTGGAGGCCTTGGCGAATCTCGTTCTCCACCGCTGCAAGATCATCATCGGCGTTGACCAACGTGGAAGCGAGTTCACCGCGCAGAAGCCCGGACTCAATCTGGCACTGCCCACGCAGCGAGTTTGCAATGTTCACGACAACGAAGCTGCCACCGTTGCCGTCGGGAACAAACCGCATCGTCATCTCCTGGTTCGGCGGCTGGTTGTTGACTGCAATGATGGCGTGCTCGCCAAAGATGTCAGAGAGCTTCGCTGATTGCACAAATACAAAAGATGTGGTAGAGTTCTTCAGCAGCAGCTTATTTGTCTCCAAAATAGCATGAAAGCCATCCGAAAACCCGTTCATGAGTGCCTCCTCCACGGCTGCCTGCTTCTGGTCAGGTCGCTGGTTCTCCGACAATTCTAACTGGCCAACAAGATAGTTAGGCTCGAACTTCACCTGGCCAGTCATGTCGTTTGAAACGGTTGCATTCACCGTGACGACGTCTCCACAATGGTGAATCGTCAACGTTGCCGCCGCCGGGGTCACCTTTCCCTCCCAGTGGGAGAGAACGTAAGTACCACAAATTTCGTCAGCTGTGGCCATCGTTGGTCGCGATAAATTTTAGGCTTCTTCTGTACACAGGAGCTCCTTTTGCACTTAAAAGCGGCTTTTCTTTTCGAGTTTGAAGCAGTAAATATTGCTCAACAGTTCCGGATAGAATGGTCTGAGTTAAAAAAGGAAAGCTATACGACGCCGAAGGAAGCAAAGCGACAGAATAGCAGTGATAGTAGAGCGAAGAAGAAAAAGGGTGAACAATAGCAGGTGCTTGAAATTTGCAACTCATCGCACGTGGTTTTGACGACACAAGCTGCAGTTTACGAAGGAGAGCAAAGATGATCCTAATGGAAATCAATAAAACTACCTTACACTTAAGTTGTTCGAATTGGAGCAGCATAAAGCGAGACCCGTTATGACTATTGAATTTGTGGCGAAAGTTTTCGACAAAAGAAAAGACTTTTGTTTCGCTGAACATAAATGTCCATCATGCAAGAACAGAAGAAGTGAACAATTTACAGAGAGAAGCATCCATATTCAAGGAGGAAAAGGCTGCTATAAAACCACAGCAGCGCAAAAGAATCACCTTCAGCTGCCACGCGACCACCTGAAAGTTTCGGAAGCAGAAAAAAAGCTTTTCGCGTGCGGGCAGCTGCCTGCTTGCAGTCATTTCGCGCAAAATGAGTGGCGCCCAAAGCGCGCCACCGTCAACGGTCTAACGCTTTGATACGTCGCGCAGCACGTCCATTGACCGAGTTGCTACGCTTCGAGCCGACTCTTTCGCTACTCCCCTCTTCCGATCTTCGCCTCTTTTCCTTCAGTGTGTATTATCAAAGCGGCCAGAAATCCCCAACCCTGACATCAGCGCGTGGTAAAAGAATTCCGCCGGGACTGCTCTCCTCCTTCCCCCCTCCCGCCCTTCCTTTTCACTTCCCCATTGACTCAGTTTTTTCGAGAAGCCAACAGCTTACTCCTTTCAAAAGTCTATTCCTATCCAACATTGAGGAGGGCTTCACACTGTTTGAACTCAAAAACCTTTTTGCGGGCTTTTTATTTGCGGCACGTCAGGCACTGGCCTTTGCAATCGGAAATCTTAACCGAATAAAAACTGGAAGGCTCGTCGGTGACGTCACATCTTTGGCGATAATTCTGCTTTTTCGAACCGTAATGTTCCACCGTTCAAAAAAGAAGAGCTTGAAGGGTTTCCCTTAGCCTTGAGGTAACAGTTACAAAGCACACTGTTTTGCAACAGTTATTCACCGCACAACCTTTTCGGCCGGCTTTGCGACTTGAATCGTTTTCCTAGTCATCGAAAACCGCGTCTCCGGCACTCGGCGTTGATTTCGGATGCTGCGGCCAACTAGATGGCCTCTACGAGCTCTCAAAACACTCTTTTCTAAATTGCTCCATCGTATTTGTGGTTTGCATCGACAACCAAGTACAGCATGTGCCTACTTGTTTTCTTCCCGTGCCAGCTCTTCTCTTTTCTTCTCCTCGTTAAGCTTTCACACTCCTCCTTTCTTTGCTGCTGATTTGTTTCCTCTGCTACCTGCACAGTATTGCTCGACTACAATCCACCTTTCACAAGCTCGCTTCAGATTTCGTACGACTCTCGCAATGTCGTTCAACACGAAGTTTTCCATGTGGTGGGGCAGCGTCACCACTAAAACGGAGAGATTGTTCAACAAGGAGAAGCAGCGCATGGTGACGCATGAGTATTACGATAACCCCAACGCGAAGGCTGCTCGTCCAAAGAGCATGCATTCGATCCGCGGTAGCATGAGGATGCAAAACTCCTCTCGCGGAAGCCAAGACTTCGGTGATGATGGTGAACCGAAACGCCGGTCCTCTTCCAAGCGTTCGTCGCGAAGCAAGCCGCAACAAGAGGAATCGGGAGACGATGTCAAGCAGGTGCAGCAGAACGACTATGAGGGCGTTCCTCAGGATCAATATCCGCAAGAAATGGGCTATGGCATGCCGCAAAGTGGCCAGTATATTTAGTCTCCAATGATGCAGAATCAGCAGTACACGCAGCAGCAGCCGATGCAGGGTGGCTACCCTACTGAAGGGTACGCCAATCAAGGCTACTCTCAAGGATACCGCAAAGGCTATTGAAGAGCGCGGAGATATGAGGGAGGGTAGTCGAAATTGCGCTGTTTCTTGTACATAGTCTTTTTACTTTTCCATATATCTTTTTTTGAGTTTACAACCTTCCGGAATGAGCCATCTTTTGGAGCTCGTCAAATGAGTCTTCGAAACTCCTGTTGATGCTTTTTTTTCTGTTTCTTTCTGTTTTTCCCCTCTTGTTATATTTCGTTCTCCTCTTCTCTTTTCTTTGATCGTTCTTCAATGTGGTTCAAATGGCTCATTTTATTATCTCTTTTTCTAAGTCTTACTTACGACTTTACTTGATTTTTTTGTGTGTTTGTTTAGTTGTGTCTGATCTTTCTTGTAAATGACTTTTCTTTTCTGATCATTAGCATTTCCATTGATGTGAAAGCTACCTATTTTACGAACAGTCGAGTGTATTGTACTGTTTCGTTTGTTATGTTATTTTGGAGTTTTCTTGCTTAGCAGCTGCTGACACCCTATACAGATACATCTGCGTTGATGTGCATAGGTTTCGAGGAAAATCTGTTTGTGTATTCAGGCAACTGTTTTGTTGAGAATGACTTTGTGTAGAGTGATTGAAATACTTATTTCTTTTCATCGCAAAGGCCTTACTTAAAACTGGTGCCTGTTAAAGCTTGCTACTGGGTATACCATGATCTGAACTTCTGCACGAGGCGTGAATTGCAGTAGATGCTCTCCCGTCAAACTGACCTGTTCTCCTAGCATTTATTTAATCGTTCTCTCCTCCATTCAATGAGATTAATGCTCTTCTGGACCGCAATGCTCGACAATCCGCTTCTTTGAGGCAGCACATCGATGCAAGTGAGATGATCGTTAATTGAACTAATCTGCTGGCGTATAGTTTAGTGGCAATAATTGTTTCGAGTTTCTCTTTGTGTCCTTACGCAACTCCTCTGCAGTCTTTCGCCTCTCCTTCTTCTTGTTCTCGCACAACCACTGTCGAAGCACGCATTCCAAAAACAGTAACAGAACCAAAAAGAAAAGTTTAGCTTGTGAGCTATGGGTAGGGGCTTTGGACGTGGTGCGAAAAGCGTCGCGATTGTGACGCACGCCCAAACCGGCAAAGCCGGCAAGAAGACTCCGAAAGGTCTTCGTGGTGTTCGCCAAAAGAAACGCCAGAAGTATCTTAAACGCAATGATGCGCAGTCAGAGCTGGAAGAATCTCTTGGCCTGAAGAAGGATGAACGGAATGATAAACATGCGCCTAAAAACCTGGCTCAGGAGATTGCTGCGGTTCAATTTGCACACGTCGTGAACAGACGCGAGAAAGGCTTCAAGCATCTGCGGAAGCAAATTATAGGAGCAGTTAAGGATGTTCGTCGCAGATACGCAGATAAGGCACACAAGAAACACAATAAATGAGGTGCCCCCTATTGAAAGTGAAGAAGAGGATCTTATTCCTGATTGCGTTTTCCAATGAACTGTGCAGTTTTCGTGTTCGCTGTTGATGTTGGCAACGGCCTTCTACCATCCCAAGCTACTGATTTCCAACTCTCAAGAGCGTGCTATTGTGGTCGTTTGCAAAAAAGTACTTTTTTTTCTAACAATGTGAACGAGTAAGTTTCTGTAATTGTACATAAGCTCCGGCTTGTGCTTTCAACTAAGCTGTTTCGCTAAAACATTCATTCACATGCCGCACCGAGTTTTTAGCACGATTACAACGTGGCATCTGTGGTATTGTAATCGTTGTAATAATTCCATATTAGGTCATTCTTTTGGGGGGATTATTTTTTGGTGTACATTTGAGACGGTGTCGTTAGGATACGCGGTAACGCAAAAGCTTTGCGCTATCCTGATTGATCATCATATTCAAAAGATTTTTTTTTTGCATCTTCTATAGATCTTTTCTGGCTTTTTTTCAACTGAAATGGTCACCGTTTTCTAGTATAGCTGTTGTTTTAATATTCTTCCTTCTCTCTCTCTCTTCGTCCTTGTCCTCCCTTTTTTTAACCTCATTCGACGCGTTTAGATTTGCAGCAAAGCCGACATAGTAAATATGCAACGGCGCTTCCAAAGCCTTTTCCAACCACGCCGAGGCGGACTCTTTTGCGTCGATGCTTTGTTTTCAGCACAGCGAAAAGTCAATGGTTGTCAACGGACTGGCGGGCGTGAGGAGGATGAAGACCCAGCAGTTGTGCTAAGGAAGTTGCAGGAAGAGATGCGGAAGCGCTCGTTAGCTGAAGGGAAGGAAATCCCACCGACTCCGCCTCGTCGCTCGGGAAAAACGAACTTCTTTGATAGCAACCCAAAACCGGAAAACACAGAAGAGCAGGACACGAACAGAACACAAGAAGACTCACGCCATCCACAATCGGGGCCACACTCGCAGTCAAACGTGAAGCGGAAGGGAGGTGCTGAGACGAAGACGTCCAATCCGTTTCTCCAAAAACTGACGAAGATGGAAGTTGACACGCAATCAACATCTTTTCCCACGTATGATGCCGCAGCAGAGGAACGCCGGAAAAAAATCGACGCCAAGATCAAAGAGGAGCGCTCGAAAATGGTGGTCTTCCGAGACGTGGGAATGGATTTAGACAAGCCGATTCTTTCTCGTGACGTTTTCCTCATTTTTAAATACTTTCGCTACGGCTCGGAGTTCGCCGTTGATAACGAGCTGGAGCGCATGCTGCGTTACTTTAACGAGCACGCCACGAATGAACTCAAAATCATCCAAGACAGTAAACTCATGCGCGGCCCCCCAACGCTCTCGCGAAAGCGTCGACATACACCGCGACCAAGGTCCTCCGCACAGTCATTTGGGAATCCTACGTTGAAAAACGATCAACGCGAACACGACGAATTGGCAGTGGTGCGACAGCAACAGCAGGCGCTACAGTTTCAGGTTAGCTCTTTCTTTCCACGGGTGAGGTGCGCAAACACCCGCCAGTTTTGTTCCCCCGGCTCTTCCGCGAACGCAGTAGCAAGCACCCTTTCTACACTTCTTTCAGCAAGCCACAACTCGTCTTCCTTCGCTCCTTTTCTCCCATCAGCGGCAGCTGAAGAGAACAAGAAAGGCAGCACCGCCGCAAAGAAGTCCTTCAATGCCAGGGACGATGGCCTCTTCACCGTCATGTCGCCTTCGATGTTTCGTAGACCTGCAGTCGTCATTTACTCGCAGCTAGGCCAGAGGTTCGGCTCCCAGGCCGACACGGAATGGCGTCGTCTCGCCTACACCTCAATCTGTCCGGGCCTCCTGCCTTACATTCCAATGCTAAGCAATACCGCAAAAGAGGTAAAGGATGAAACTGCTGGTGTGCAATCGCCTTATAGCGTGTCTGGTCAGACTGGTAAAAAAAAAGATGGCAGTTTTTCTCGTTCCTCGGCGTCCTCCCGCTCAATGCCGATCGACGTCATCTCACTGCGCAGCGTCGACGTGTACAAGTACGCCTGGGTGCAACGCATGTACGTCAACCGCTTTGCCAAGTCTCTGTCTCAAACAACCTCCGCTGCCGGGTCAACAGCTGCTGGCGAACCGTCAGTAGCGGAGGTCAATCGAGCGTTGATTGCCTCTACGACGTTTGTGGGTAGTCAATTACTGCAGCCGTTCTACACCACGTTGGGTTTGCGCAACTACCTATTACCGCATGTGATGCTTGTAGATCATGAGGGCGTCATCCGCTGGCTAAGCGGGGGCTGTCCGGATGCTAATGAGGAAGCTGTCTTTTCCTCATTGTTGCGTCAGCTGGAGTCGGAGTATTACAAGGCTTCAAAGTAGTACGCCGGCGCATCGAGGCGTGGTGGTTGTGGCGTTGTGTGTTTGTGGTGTCGTTGCCATATATGTTTGTGAGGGTTCTTCAATTTTTCTTTTGAGAATTGCTCGATCTGTTTTGTTCACATTTAAATAAAAACCGTGTTTATAAGGAAAAAGATGCGCTTCAACTGGATGCCTTTTTCTCGAGAAGTGGATTGGTGCTTCAAAGCGTAGCGCAGGTGTTATCTCCGTCAGCATTAGCATCTTTTCCAGTCTCTTTCTCTTGTGAAGGAAAAAAATGTTCATAACGGAAGTGCAACTCATGTCGAAAACGCGAGATGAAAACGATCTGTGCTTTGCAGGCTTTCAAACACGCATAATATTAGCCGTATTTCCTCCCCCGCCCAATCAAGTATCTGCGCTCCCCTTGAATGAACCGCTGCATTCTTCTTTTTTACATTTCTTTCCTTCCCTTCTTCTTTTTCCTGTCACGTGTCCCTATCATCTTTTGCCTTTTCACTTTTTTTTTAAGTTTCGAGAAAACAGTTTATTCAGGTTTACGACTTCCACTTTAGATCCTTGTCATGGCTTCATTGACTCATAGAATATTTGCATCCCTCAAAGCAGGAGGAAGCCCGACCCCGATGGTGTCAGAGACGCACAATGCCGGCGCCGGTGTTTCAGCGACACCCTCCGCATCCTCCGCCTCACCCACCACTGCGTGGAATGAGCGTTTTTATCACGTCGCCGTGCAAGGCTGCTGCCATGGCGAACTCGACCGCATCTACGACGCCTGCACAGTGCATGAGCGGCAATCAGGCAAACGCATCGATGTGCTCATCTGCTGTGGCGATTTCCAGGCAGTACGCACGGCGGGGGACATGGACAGTATGGCCGTGCCTGACAAGTTCAAAGTGATGGGCGATTTCCACAAATACTGGAGCGCGGTAACGGCGCCGTATTTGACCATTTTCGTCGGCGGTAATCACGAGAACTCGGACTTGCTGGCTCAGGAAAGCTACGGCGGCTTCGTGGCGCCGAACATCTATTACCTCGGCCACTCCGGCCTGGTGACGGTGGACAACTGCTTGCGTGTGGCGGGACTGAGTGGCATTTTCAAGGAGCAGGACTACGATCTCCCTTACCCACCCCGCCCATACGCCGCGAACTATGGGTGGAAGAAAGGCGCCTATCATGTGCGACGCATCGAGGTGGCGAAATTGCACACCTATCTGCGTGCCGCGCAAATTCTGCGGCAATCAAAAAAGGAAAGCAGCGAATCCTCTGATTTGCCCTTGGTGGACATCTTTGTATCGCATGATTGGCCGGTTGGCATCACCGCATACGGCGACGAGGCCCAGCTACTGCGCTTCAAGCCTTACTTTCGCGACGACATTCGCCGTCACGCCCTCGGCAACCCGCACACGATGAACCTGCTCCGAGAGGCGAAGCCGGTGTACTGGGTCGCGGCGCACCTCCACTGCTTCTTCGAGGCAACCGTCTCGCACACCTTCGCACGCTCTTCTGACGATGCGAAGGGAGGTGCGGAGGCCTCGCCTGCACCCACAAGGTTTGTTGCCCTCGATAAGTGCGCAAAGGGGTCCGGTTTCTTGACTTTTCTGGATCTGCCACGCCGTCCGCGCTGCTCGACAGCGACTTCGAGTGCAGCGGTGGCCGGTACCGCCACAAAGAGCGACCTTCACGACGTTGATGGCGCAGCACGCATCCAACGCGACCCGCTCTGGGTGGAAGTGCTTCTCGCCTCACACCCCTACGTCGCAGCGAACCAGACAACAAAGACAAGCAGCAGCACGCAAGGAGCTTCGTCTTTGCCGGCTGTAAGACAACGCTGCTTCGACGTCAATGACACGGTCCGCGAGATCGTGGCGCGCCACTCATCGGGCTCGCCTGCAAACGAGCCGCTGCCTGCGGCGGCTCTGGCATCGTCCTCCACAGCAGCACTGCTGAAGGAGCTCGAGCTATCGCCTACTTTGCCACTGCAGCAGCAAGACGTAGCCTTGAGCAGCAGCTCCGCCACTGCATCTATGCGCTACGGTCAGGGCCGACAGAGTGCAGCCCAGTGGGCAGTTTCGCGAGCCGATGACATCAGCTCTCGCGACTTGCACCGGCATCATCCGCGACAACGCACTGAAGTGTCGACCGCGCCGCCAGTGGTGGAGGCCGCGCCGGCTACCGCAGCTGCCCCGTTAAGCTTCTTCGAAGACGTCGGCACCGCGACGCCCTTCCTTACCGCCCCTGCACCGACATCGTCTTCCACGGCATCCGATGTGAAGCCGGCACCCGCGCCATTAGGCTGGTACGAGGACACGACGATGTAAACACGCACGTGCGGTGTGCGACAGCACCGTAACCTTCCTCTTTTTTGTCTCTTCACGACTCGCACCTCTTTAACCAGCTTTCTTGAGCACTGCTTCTCCACGACGAACCCGGTTTATGTTCATTGCTGCCGCTCAATCGACTTCGGGGAGGAAGCTGCCACGTTGAAAAGTAGCAGTAATACATAGGAAGAGTTGTTTGGTGACTGATCAGCAGCGCAGAGACAAGGTAATACGTAGCCTCCGCGCTGTTTTTGTTTTGTTTTTGTTTTTGTCATCTCTGGTCGTGTTTCTTCACATCATTCGCTACTGCACCGTTGATGAATCAAAGCAGTACTTCGAGCAACACACACATACTAAAACCGAAAAATTGAATCATGGAATTGTGAGGAAAAGCACGTTTCACGTCTGTGTTCTTCTTCGCCTCCGACTGCGTCGACTTTCTTTCAAGTCAGACTGCACGACCGTTGTTCTTGCGAGTGCTGCCGATCACCTCTACTGATTACTTTCACGCTCGCCTCTCTCCTTCCACACGTGTCTTCATCTTTTTTCAACGTCACAACGTCATTCGTGTTCTCATCCATCTATGCAACAACAACAACCCCAAAAAAAACCCTGTTCATGATGATGGTGTTTCTTGTTGCTGTGTTTCTCTTACCTGACATATTTGCCCACCACTCCTTGGGTGTCTCTTTACCGACAAAAATACAAGTAAAGGAAAACACGTAAAGTAGAACAGTTAAAGCAAAAAAACAGCAAACACCTTTGCACTTAACATCAGGAAGGAATCAATTTTTTTTTTTTCCAAGGGGTGTTTCATCCGCTCCCATAGAGAGAGCGAGAGAGATTCACTACACTCCTGCGGAAGGAGCCATACACAAGCGAAGGCAAGCTTCAACTTGTAAAAAAAAAAGGAGAGGAAGGCCCTTCTTTTTTGTACATTCGCTGTTTCAGATCCGCAAAGAGACCGAGTTTTACCAACTCTGGTCCTTCTCACGTTTTTTCGCGTTTCGTGTTCTCGCGCTTCCTTGTCTGGACCGCGTCTCTTTAACTCGGTGTCTTTGTCCTTTTTTTTTTCTTCCTTTGCCACAGGGCCGCCAGTAGGGCACGCGCGTTTACAACAGTTAGCGGCTCACGAGACGCTGCCGTCTGATTGGTACCTCTCAGATAACTGGGCACACAAGAAAAGGAAAAAAGAACACCTTGTTAAAGTCAGCAAAAATTAAGGAAAAAAAGACGTTGGTTCTTCCTGCCTGCTGTTGCTTTGCTCAGTCTTACTATTATTTCCCCTTCACAGCTTTACATCATACACATAGAAGTGTAGAAGCCACCTAAAAAAGAATCTATGTATCTTTCTTCTCCTCTATCTATATAGGTGACATCCCCGAAACGCTTGTGTTTATTGTTTTTTTTTTTCTTCTCTCTCTTTTTTTTTCCTTTTCTTTTTTTTTGTCAGTGTTTGTTTGTGGAGTCGGTGTTGTACGTGCTTTCGTGGAGCGAAGGTACTGCATGAACTCCCCGCTAACTCACTTGGGACTTTTCCGAGTTGAATTCCTATCGCGTAGGGGTTCGTTGGCCAACGTGTTTCGGCGCTCTTTTTTTGTGTTGTGGTGGTTGGTTGCTCTGTTTTGTCTCTTTACCTCCCCTGTGGCTCTAATCGTCTTTTCTCCTCCGGGCAACCCTTTCTTTCTTTTCTTTTTGTTTCATTTCGTTTCTTTGGTGGCCGTCTGTATTGGTTTTGTTTCCCGAAGAGAGCGGCGGCAAACTGTCCTGCGTCATCGTGCCTTCCGCATCGGCGGAGCGTTCTCATTTGCACTTTCGTTTTTTCTTTCTTCTTTTTCTCTTCCTCCCCCTTTTCCCGCGATCCCTTGCTCACTGCTTCGCCTTCTGTGAATATATACCTCCACCGCAACGAAGGTTCAACAGTTCTTGGGGGGGCATTAAGCAAGTTTAAAGACAACACACCCACGAAGAAGAAAGCAATAAGAAGAGAAAAAAGAAAGGAAAAGTAAGTGAGGATGGACAGCGTTGACGCCGCACTGTACCGCGGCAACGCAGCCCATCCATCCTCGCCGATCGACTTCAACGTTGACACAATACACCCACGTCCGCACCCTAGCAACGGCAGCAGCTCTCTCGGCGTCGCTGCGACACGGCAGACCGCCTCCCCGCGCCCCGCACCGCCGCCACCACCGCCGCAGCCCTTGTTGAAGGAGGTGCTGCCCGAGGAGGAGGAACTCGATCAGTTTGACATTGTGCTCCAGCAAGATGCGGCGGCCAGTAACTCGCAGTTCGCGGGTACGCACTCCCCTTCAGGGGCCACGCCGCCGCTGGCAAGCTGCGCGGCAAGCAGCGGCCCGCACGGCGCGGCAGGGGGATCGAATAACGTCAGCAACAGCCTTAGTAGTCCCAGCGTGCTGCTGCAGAGTGCGTCGAAGCTGATGCCGTCGGTGGCGGGTGTCTGCCAGGCTTCTGCCCTCACCCAGGATAGGGAGCAGTGTGCACGCCTGATTCATCAAATGACGTCTATCCTGCGCGGGGAGATCAACCTGCACGGACAGCCCACAAACAGCAGCGCAAACGGCAGCACAACCACCATCACCACGGCGACTGCGACGACGACACGCTCCACCGCCGCTTCCGTTGTCGCCTCCCCCGGCGGGGACCCCCGCGCAACGAGCTCGCCAGCGTCCCTCGCCGCCGCCGTCGCCGCCTCCGCCTCCGCGCACAACTTTGAGGAGGAGCTCAGCCTGCTTACAGACATTATCCTGGAGGCGAACCTGGCGCACAACCCACAGTGGACGGCCAACGTGCACCGCGGCACCGGCAGCACAAATGGCTACCCGTCGCCCCTGCACGCCGCCCGCAGCTCTCCCCGCAGCGGAGGTGTGGGTCAGTCGCTGACGGGCATCCAGGCCGTAGCAGCAGGTGCCGCCGCTGCTGGTGTGGGTGCCCCGCACAGCTTCAACCCGACGAACAGCACGGCGGGCGCCACAGTAGCCGTCGCAGCCCGCTCACACTCGCGCACGTCGCCGGCCGGTCCGGGCGCGTACGTCTCGATGCGTCAAATCAGCCCCACCGCGGCCGGCAGTAACGCGCAGAACACCGACGGCCGCTCCACCATCGACACCGAAGTCAGCGACTCCCTCTGCCGCCTGTCCAACATGGGCGGCGGCGGCGGCGCGTACCACCACCTTTACGTGATGGAGCACGACGTACGCCCCATGAACCCCTGCCAGGGGGCCGCGGCGGGTCCCACCGCTACTACAACTGCCGGCGGCGGCAACAGCAGCGGCAGCGCCTCCCGTCAGACGAACTCCACCGCGCCCTTCCCTCAGCCACCGCCGTCTGCGGCGGCTCCGTGGGCGTCGCTGATGTACGGCAGTGCGAACGTCGGCCACCTTGACCGGGCCGCCATCGCCAGTCTCACGAACCAGCAGAGCTCCCGAAGAGCCAACGGCAGTGCGGCGCGCAGCACGAGTGCCACGGTGAAGCACCCACGCGCCGTGAAGCCGGACCCGCGTAACGACCTAGCGAAGGTGGGCCGCATCCGTGGGCCGCGCAGCCGCACCGGCAAGAACGTCGCCCCGAGCAGCCACTCCGCCTTCTCGGAGTGCTCCGGTGGCGAGACGCGTAGCTGCCGCTCCACGCTGACAGGCGCCCATCGCGTTCTGTCGTCCTCGGCGAATGTCACGACTAACACGTCGATGTCCAGTAGCGTGTTCAATCACATTCAAGTAGAGCACGTGATGGCGGCGACTAGCGGCGACCGGCGAGACTGACCAGGAGGGGCGCTAAGGTGAAGAAGTCAATAGTGGAGTGGTGCGCAAATCGAAAGGCGAATCCGCGTGCGGGAGAGCGAGAGAACTGTGTCAAAGCTCGCAATCCGTTGTGTTTCTGTAATCCATGGTGTTTCCTGATTTCTTTTTTCCCCTCAGTGACTTTGTTGTGCGTCTCTCCTTTCTTCGTCTTCGTCTCTCGTTGACACATTGATACCCACGTAGTCTCTCCTCCTCCAGCTGCCCCACCCCTGTGTGGCCTCCATCGTGCTTCTAAGGGTGTTTCTGTCTACCTGTTTTTTCTTCTTCCTCTCCCTTTCTTTTTTTTCGCAATTAAAAAAAAAGAATATTTAAAGCTTCTGTATTTGTATAAACGTGTATCTTGGTTTATCTTGTCTTTTCTTTTCTCTTCTCTTCTTTGCTAAAAAGCGGCTGTGTGTGTGTGTGTGTGTTGAAGCTGTGCTTGTTCTCTCGGTTTTTGCATCTTGTCTTCTTCTTCTCTGGTCGGCAATGCTTTCTTTTTTGTGTGTGTGAACGCTGTGGAAGACGAGACCATCGATTTGCTTCCTTTATGTATTGTCCCTTTCGGCCTTCCCCGCCCTGTCGACGTGCTTCTCACGCGATGCGACTGCTCTCACTTGTCACGATGGAGTCAAACCTCACGGTTCTCTGAATGTCTTTTCTTTCGGAAGTACTCTCTCTTTTTTTTTCTTTGTTCTTCTTTCCCGCGGCCATGGTAAGGCCTCTGCGCTGTAGTCCGGCATGCGGAATGAAGAGGAAAAAAGAAGGATTGAGAGGAGCGACGAGAAGAGTTTATGATATACGCATATACAAACAGAAAGAAAAGAGAGAACCGGAGCGTGGAAAGGGAAGCAGTCGCGGAACAATGTTGAGCACTCCTGAAAGGAAAAGAAAAAGGTGAGAGGCGAAACATACGCGACAGACTGAGAGGGAGGGAGGGAGGGGAGAAAAGCCTGCGCGGTGTTTTATCTTGCTGTCGCTTTCTTTTGTGTGTTCTCTTCAAAGGTGTTGCTCTCGTTCTTTTGGCCGATTTTTGGATTCTCTTTTCTTCTTCCCCCGCTCATTACCCAGGTACTCGAAGGTGACAGATAAGGGTGTTTTTATATATTTCCCAGGAGTATATATATCATTCCTTTACACATATATATATATATATTTATATTTATATATGTGTGTCAGATGTTGTTCACCTTTTCTTTTCTCTTCTTTTTTCTTACTGCAAGAGTTGTAATACTATTTATTTCTTCTTTTTTTTTTGGTAGAAACTCTGTATGTACCCTCGTTGGGTTGGATATCGGTGGGTAACGGAAAATGGGGGAAGGCGGGAATGCAAAAATTGGAACGGCATCAATTATTATATATCTAAAGAAGGAAATGTGTGTCAATACCCGTTTTACGAGCACCGTGCTGTACGACTTCTACACGTGCGACGGATCGCGTACGCGCGTTTACATTATTATTATTATTTTCGCGATGAACGACTCGGCATTTGTTGTTATTGCTGTTGTTTGTACCCCGCTCGTGAACCGTGTGTGTTTGCGTATGTCCTCGATCTTCTGCTTGTACGATGCACTTCCAAAGGTTTTTTCTTCCAACCCTCTCGTTGTGTGTGTGTGTGTGTGTGGTCTGGAGAAGAGAAACACTGTAAAAAGGGAAAAACAAAATCCAAGAGGCTTTTCTCATTTTCCATGTTTTATTTTTTTCGCTGTACATTGTACCCAGCCTCCACTTCTTTTTTCTTCATGTTTTTCGGTTTGTTTCGTCTGTCGCTGCTGTTGCTTCGCTCTTCCAGCTCTCCTCCTTCGTCGATTGTATTTTTCTTTGAAGCGTTAAAGTGGCTGCGGGTCATCTCATTTCTTTCTCTCTCTCTCTCCCTCTATCTCTCTCTTCATTTCCTTTTCCTGTTATTGGAGACGCGTGCGGGCTCTCGTTGATTGTGGTGGGTTTTTTTTTTTGCTTTTCGTTGGTGTGGGCCTGTTTAACGAGCGGGCTGCTATTTCCAAGAGAAGGAAAGAGAAACGGAGCACGAAGCTGTATCGTGTGTAGCGGCTTTGCAAAGACGTGTGTCTGCTTGGGTGCGAGAGGGAGTGAGGAAACACAGCCAGAACGGAGAATAGTATTCGTGCGTGTGTGTGTGTGTCGCGATGTAGGTAGTTTTTCTACTTTTTTTAGTGTTTCAGGCTTTTTTACGCTGCGATGGCTTCGCGGGGTGTGATGTATAGAACGGGAAAAGAAAAACACGGTAGAACCAACGGCGAGAGTGACGTGAAGAGCGGTGAAGAGAGCAGGAAAGAGGGGGAGGAGAAAAGAAAAGACAAACTAGCGCGCTAAGCAAGCGCGAAAATATATACATACTTCTTACATTCACGTTTTGTGGGTATGGGCGAATACATGTAGACAAAAACCATCTCTATGCTTGTATTTTGTTGCTTCCGTTTTCTAGATGCTCATGGAGAGCATTAGCACTGCAACGTTACCATTGTAGCAAACAAACGTTGTCTTTTAAGTTGTTATTGGGCTGCTCATATATATTCGAGTGCTTTTCTTCGTTGATCTCTCTCCTCTTTCGTCTCCGTCCTCCCTGTCACTCTTGTTTTCTCCGCCGTCGCCGTTTGCTGTTTGCTTTGTAAGGGGTACGCTTTCTGCTCGGATTATTATTTTTTTGTTCAGCACTTTACTCCACATCGAAAGCGAACCCTTCAAAGCTGGGGCGCAGTGGAATGGTAAGTACCTCCTGCTATTTACCTCGCCTTTTGGGTGTTGTTTGACGTCACTGCGGAGATCACTTCCTTCCCATTGGTTTTTATATCCTTTCTTTTGATTTCCCTCCAGCCTCACCTTTTTTCCCTTTCTCTCTCTCTCCGACGCCTCCGTGCTTTCTCACTTTCGTTCCTGCTCCATCGTATTTTCCTTCGAAGCTATCACTTCGTGTTTTATGTCCCCGCTATCTCGTCAGGAAAAGTGAGTCGTTTTCCATCTATACACATATATATATATATATACGGAGTAAGACAATATGCTGTGGGAGGAGGGGAAAAGAAAAAACAGTAATAAAACTTTTCAAGAAAGCGAAATGCGAGGAAAGGTGGAGAAAGGGGAAAGGGGGAAGAGGCACGTTGAGGAGCGCCCCCGTCGCTCACGCGCTCATTCACCTCCTTGTATGACTACAGTATGTGTGTGTGTGTGTGTGGAGTTCCCCATCGTCTGCTGTGACGTATAGCACGTTCTATCACTATGATTACTATCGTTGTCGTGTTCTTTTGTTGTTGTTGTTGTTTTACTGGTGCCTCTGGTTTTTGTTTTTGCTACACACTTTTCTACCTCGCTCTCTCTCTCTGTCTCATTATTATTTTTTTTGTTCTCCGCGTGCTGAAGCAGATGATTTTGTTGTTGCCGTTGCTGACTGACGTTGTGTTTTTGTTGGACTCTCCTTCTTCTTCTTTTTCGCTTCTTTTCTCTCTCTCCTCTCTTCTTTTGCTGTTGCTCAACTAATTGGTTTTTTTTTCTTGAAGGTTACTATTGATATTTACCACCGTTTTTTTGTCCTTCTTGTTTTTTTTTCTGTTTATCCTTTTCCTTTCTTCATCTTCGTACTCTTTGGGTTGCGATGCATACCGTCGGCCTACCCCATGCCCCTCTACGCACATGCATGCCCCATGAACTATCTTCTTCTTTGTTTTTAGAGGAGAGGTTGTGATACAGCAGCAGCGGTACTGCCGCCGTACATAACGGATGTGTTTTCCCTTTCGTCCCTTTTACACATATATATTGTGATCATCATTTGTTCTGTTTTGTTGTTGTTGTTGTTTTCGTCGTCGTTCGGAGTGTTTTTGGTGGCGCTGTGTGGTGTTTGCTGGGCTGCGATTGGTGTACTGATGTTGCTGATGGCTCAACTTACAAAAACTTCGCTTTTTCCTCCGTTCTCGATCAACATATGTCTTCCTCATTCACGCTTTGCCTTCGTTTTTTTTTCTTTTTATCTGTCTTCTGTCTTCAACCTACCGAAAAGGGAAACCAAAAAAAAAACATATATATACTGAAGCGAAGTACGCCGTCTCCTCCCCCGGTGACGACTACGAATAATGACACAAGCGATCAGCAACGGCGGTGATAACGAGCCGCTGATGTTGTTGCTGCATTTGCACTGCACGCCTTTTTGCTGTTGCTGAAGCAGACGGCTGATCAGCGACGACGAGGCCCAGTGTCAAGTGTCTGCTGAAGAAAGAACCTTTCGCGAGGTTTTTGTCGCTTTACGTGAAAGGCACCGTCACAGGCTACGCTGCTCCTTCACCAAGACAGTCATCCCGCTTCACGATGAGAAGCCTCGAAACGGGTACATAAGTTCAACCCTCTTTTTGTGACTCTCCTGATTTCCGCTCCAGTGGACTTCGCACAACAACGTTCAAATGGAGCGCATGCTTTAGATAGTGCACGTAAACCCTCTCCTGTTTTGCTGAGTCACTTGTGATTCTCTCTCACTCTCCCTCTTACCTTTTTTTTTTAATTCCTTTGTGGTGGCTCCTGCATCGTGCGCACACCCTTCTCGATAGCTCCGGATTGGAGACTCGAACTTGCAGCTGAAGAAGCCAATCTGGACGACTCAGCCTCACTGTGCGCCTACGCAGACGGTTTATTATTTCTATTATTGTTATTGTTTCTCGTCCGCTTATTTCTCTTTCTTTCCTTTAGTTTCCTTTGCTAGAAGAGGAGGACAAAAGAGGAAAAGATGTCCGCGTTAGCGAGGAAGATGATGGAGAAGTACGGGTGGAAGGAGGGCGAGGGCCTTGGAAAGGAACGCACCGGCACGAAGTCCTACGTGAGGGTGGTGCGTCGTGATCCGCACGTTGCCACCGGACTCGGCCACGCAGCGGACCCGGCTCAGAGCGGCAACCTCGCCTCCACCCACGCCGTGGAACTCGACGCCATTTACGGTCAGCTGCACAAAGAGAAGAAGAAGTTGAAGCGGGCACGCAGCAGCGACAGCAGCAGCAGCAGCAGCGACTCCGCCAGCGGCGTTGACGAAACGGAGGAAACTTCAAGTGCGCAGAAGAAGAGCAGGGTCGCGGAGAGACCTTCACGCCGCCAACGCGACTCCTCGAGTGATGACGACGATGACAGTGGCAGCAGCAGCGATAGTAACAGCGGTAGCTACAGCAGCGATGATGAGGACTCTGAAATGGCTGCAAAGCGTGTGAAGGGTGAGCCGCTGGGTGATGTAACCCGCATGACGGACAAGGCACTTTTCGAGCGTTGCGGCGGCGTCCGTCTCGGTCGTGCTGGCCGTCATCGCTTCTTCGACGGGAAGCTAAAGCGGATACATGGTAATCAGTAGCGTATGCGTGCCTGTCTGTTGCGGTGTGTGTATGCGTGCAGGTGCGCGCAGGTTTTCTGAAGGTCAATACTAATAAAAACCCAGTAACTATTAAACACGAATAAGTTTACGAGGTCTCCATGCTGTGTAGTCCGTTTGCGGTACAGATAGTTGTGTGTGTGTGTGTGTGTTTTTCTTCTTGGCTGCGTACGCGGATGTCAACAACGCCCGAAAGGTACAAAAACAACGCCACGACACGTTTCGATTGGTCATACAAAGTGGGAGAGAAGGGGGAACAGCAACCAAAGAAAAAGGTCCTGTGAAGCGAACGGAGCCCCTTTCTTTCTTCTACTCTTTAGCGTGGTCCACACCAAACGTATTGTATATATATACAGGAAGGAAAGGGACGCATCATCGTTGGTTTGTTCTGTGGTGTGTGGACGACTTCGTCGAGGGATTCCGACGGTCCCAGTGCGTTTCTCACTCACGCTGAAATCGCTACGTCTCCTCCCTCCTCTCCGCATCGATGCTTTGTTTTTTTGTCCCTCTTCGTTGGCCGTTGTTGTTTCCTCAACTGCCTCCAGTCAAGTTGTACGCACTGCAGTGCCTCCCGTCTATATATATTCTCTACACCACTCTCACCCCTGGTAGCTCAATGTGGCGGCGCACGGCCCTCGTATGCCTCATGGCACGCACTCCGCCGCACCTCCGCGACGCAGGACGCCCCGTCAACCGCGCCGGGCACAGCGCCGATGGCCGAAGTGGAAGCCACGTGGCGCAGACGAAGATGAGCACGGCGGCGGCACCCGCAGCAAGCGCAGGGCCTCAGCAGCCCTCCTCTCCGAACCTCGCGGAGACGGGTACGACAGCGGAGACATCATCATCATCCAGCGTCTCTCCCGCGTGCTTTTCTTCTCCCCTCTCGCCGCCGCCGCCGCCGTCGTCAACATCCCTTTCCACGCTGATTCATACGGTGGAGCGGCTGAAGGAGGCGACGCGGCACACGCAGCACACACTGCGCAGTCAAGACGACGCCCTGCAGCTGCTGCAGCAAAAGTTTGCCTTGATGCAGCGACACGTCAGTCAGCTGGAGAGCACCGCGGAGGGGCTGCGTGGCAAGCTAAGCGATGTGCATCGTGTGGTGGGTGAAATCGTCATGGGGCAGCGCAACACGGACCTGCTGATCCAGCAGATGGAACGGCAGCAGTTAAACTTGAAGAACCCTCCCATGAGCGCACCGACACAGGTGCGACACGACGATGTTAGCGCACCACGTGTGGGTGAGGGTGCGAGTGCGTCTCACACAAGTGCCTCTGCCACTTCCGCCTCGTCGCCGGCCAGTTCAGCCGATGCACAGACCTCTGCCTTGTCGGATCCATGCGTGGCACATCAGGTCGCGGCGCTCGAGGCACGTGTGAATCAGTTAACGGTGGAACTGTTTGGCGCAGACCGCCTTATCGCTGCCGGTGGATTCAATGCCGCCCAGGCATCCCCACCTGCAGCGGAAAACATGGCGGTCATCCTCGCCTCTTCCGACACGGCCGCCAAGCGGGCGGCTGTGATGCGGGCGCTGCAGCAGCGACACGCCGTTAGCCTCTTCACCGACGCGGCTGGCGTGACGCGGGTGGCGGGGCAGTGTGTGCGCGTGCACAATGTACCCCTGAACATGGGTGCCACCGAGGTGCGAGAACTGTGCGTGCGTCACGTCTGCGAAGGCGACGGCAGCGGTCTCGTGAGCTGCATGGTGCGCCGCAGCTCCGTTGTGAAAGCCAACCGCGACAGCAGCAGCAGCAGCAGCAGTTCTTTGAATGCGGTTGCGGGGGCGGCGGGGTCAGGTGCGGAGGCAGGCACGGACGCAGCTCCCGTGTACGCCTCACAGCAGCGGCACAGCGCGAGCCCCTTGTCGACGACAGGAGGAGAAGCACTCACGACGTCGACCGACGTGTCTTCTGCCGCGATTGTGGGCGCCCTCCCTCGCGGTGCTGCCGTGGCGGCCCTTCAGCCCAACACGAAGGCGTTTGAAGTCGTTTTTGCATCTTCCGCGCTGGCGGTGCGGGCATTGAAGGTGCTGAACGGCTTGCAGCTGCGGCCCACCTTGCACACCGAGCCCATTCCGCTCGCCGTGGAGCCGGTGGTCTCGGCAGATGTGCTTAACGCCTTCCATGAACTGGAGGCTTCCAGCCACGGCGCTGTGCACGCGAAGTAAGCGATGAAAAACGCGACCAACAGCTTACCTCCTCCCCCCCCCCCTCCTTCCTCCTCCGTGTTTTTTTTTTTGCTATTGTTGTTAATGAAGGACGTTTAGAGGGCGTGTGCGCGTAGCAGAGAAGGAACGTCTTTGTTCTACTGTTTCACCGAATTCACAGAGCATCATTCAAAAGGAAAGAAAAGAAAAAGGCGACCATATCTTTTCGAGATTGGTGAGATGCACCGGTGCGGCTTGACGTGGAATCTTTCTGTAACAGCGCAATCGGAAATCACGGTGCTGGACCGTCTCGTAGGTTTCATAACCTTTACAACGCTTTGTGGTGCAACCACTAAGCGGCCCTGGGCCTCCGCAGAAGCTTCTGTGTGTGTATGTGTGCATTAATCTCCTGCCTTTTATACTCTCGCCTCGTTCTTTCTCTTCTTTCTCCTGCGTGTTTTTCTCTTCGTCTGTGTTGTCGCTGTCGTCGTTGGCGGTGATCATCAACGACGCGTTGTTTGTTGGGCTTGTTCTGCAGCCTTTAACGTACAAGGAGAAAGAAAAAAAGGTTAATAATAATACAGATTTGGCGGCAACCCAAACAGGCGTCCCAAAGGCGGGTAACCTGCAGCGCACTATTTTGTTTTCTTTTCTCTTTTTAGATCAAACGACGACGAAGTACGTTGGTTTGGTTTTGTGCGAGTGTGAGCGTCATTTCTCCTCTTTTTTTCTTTTCCGTAGACCCCCTCACGGTAGAGCTGAGGAGCCGCGCCGTTGCAGACACTTATACAGACACACACACTCAACGCGCGTTGCTTTTTTTTTTCGAAGCCTGCGCCAGGAATGATGTCATGTTGGAATGGTAGGATGTTGAAATGTACCTTAGTACCCCATTTTCCTCTCTTCTAACCTTGCGACAGTCTTCGACTTTCGCCTCTCACTTCTATTGTCGAGTCCCGCCCACCCGAGCCCGCACCGCCCCGCTTTGGAGGCGGACTTTGAAAAGGAGTCTGCCACTTCGTATGTATATATCCAGCGTGAAAAAGATGTAAAGTGAAAAATATGGTAAATTCGCTTTCTGGAAAGATATGCCCTCATCCGAGGAGGAAGACACGATGGTGTCGGGCAAAACACCGTTAATGTATGCACACCCCAAAACGGGCCATCAACAATAGTTTTCCCTTTCCCTTTCCTCCCCTTCTCCATCTCTACACATGAAAACATGAAGCATTATTCACCTCTCGTTCTCTCTCTCTTCGCGTTTCAGCGTACGGTGCATTTGTTTGTTCCTCTGTCCATCAACAAAGGATAATAGTTACCCACATACGCGTGTGTGGTCACGCTTACCTCCTCCTCCCTCCGCCCTTCTTCCTCTCAGCAATGGGGAAGAAGGACAGTGGAGCGGCAGCGGCGGAGAACATTAAAGTACTCGTCCGCTGCCGCCCACTAAGCGAAAAGGAGAAGGCGTCGGGACACACGCCCTGCGTCGACCTCGACCTCGCGGCAAACACCGTCGCGGCGAAAAGCGTGATTGGCGAACCAGACCGCTTCACCTTCGACGCCGTCATCAACAACAGCTTCTCCCAGAAGGACATCTTCACCCAGTTCATCATGCCGCTGGCGGACTCCGTGTTGAAGGGGTTCAACGCGACCGTCTTCGCCTACGGTCAGTCCGGCTCCGGCAAGACGCACACGATGACGGGCGTGATGGGGGACACGGAGATGGAGGGGATCATTCCCCGCTGCGTCGCGTATATCTTCCAGTCTGTGAAGAAGATAAAGGAGGAGTCGCCGTCGATGGCCGTCAGCATGTACGTTAGCTTCCTCGAGCTGTACAACGGCAAGGTCCGCGACCTTCTGGCGAAGCAGCAAGTCTCGCTTGAAATTCATCAGCACAAGGATAGCAGCTTCTTCGTGCAGGGGGCGGTGGTGGCGCAGGTGAAGCTGCCGGAGGACGTCATGTCCCACCTCGAGGAGGGCACCGACCGGCGTCGTGTGGCGTCGACGGAGCTGAACGCGGACAGCAGCCGCTCGCACTCCATCTTCACCCTCCTGCTCGAGTGCACCGAAACGCTGGAGGACGGCACCACGCGGGCTGTGTCGAGTAAGCTGAACCTGGTGGACCTGGCGGGGTCGGAGCGGCAGGGCAAGACCGGTGCCTCGGGCGACACGCTGAAGGAGGGGTGCAACATCAACCTCTCGCTCAGCGCTCTCGGCACTGTCATCGACACCATCGTGAAGGGGGGCTCGCACATCCCCTTCCGCAGCAGCCCCCTCACCATGCTGCTGAAGGACTCGCTCGGCGGCAATAGCAAGACGGTGATGTTCGCCAACATCAACCCCAGCGAGCGCAACCTCTCCGAGACGGTCTCCACCCTCCGCTTTGCCGATCGGGCGAAGCAGATCAAGAACAAGCCGGTGGTGAACATGGACTCGAAGGATCAGAAGATTGCGGAGCTGACAGACATGGTGAAGGAGCTGAAGGAGAAGCTGTCCAAGTACGAGACGGAGGGCACCGCCGGGATGGAGGAGGAGCTGGAGAAGCTGCAAGAGAAGGTCGGTGACCTCGAGGTGCAGCTCGACAACGCCACGAAGGGTCGTGAGGCGGACTTGGTCGACTACGAGACGGTGAAGGCGACGTTGGCAAGTGAGCGGCAGTCCTTCAGCACGCGGCTGGTGGAGGTGGAGGACGAGGTGGTGCAGCTGCAGAACCAGCTGCAGATCACGGAGAGTAACGCGAGTGCTGTACAGGCCCAGCTGAACGATGTGTTCGCCCTCTGTCACAGCTACCTGTTGACCGCAGAAGAGAAGACGGCGCAGCCGGTGGAGCAGCTACGGACCGTCGAGGCGCTGGAAGTTGTGTTGAAGGCGGTGAAGAAGCGGCTGGGCGACGGCGGGGCCTCGGGCATGCAGGAGCAGATCGCGTCGCTGCAGGCCGACCTCCACGCGGCCCACGCGGAGCACAAGGCGACGAAGAAGGAGCTGCGCTCCACGAAGGGGCAGCTGGAGAGCCAGCTGAAGGAGGCGCGCGAAGCTCTTGAGCAGGCACGCGTGAAGTTAGAAAAGGCAAAGATGGGGTCGAACAACTCCTTCAGCAACGCTTCTGCCTCTCGCCCCGTCAGCGCGAGCGTCGCGAGAGACTACGCCGCGCAGCAGGAGAAGGTCATGGCGGCGTTGAAGATGGACAGCACCGGCGTCGCTGCGATGCAGGTCCTGCGCGACGAGAACGAGAAGCTGCGTCAGCATCTGCTGTCCGCCGCCAACGCCGTGTCGCCGACGTCGGCGCGTGGCAGTGGCATTAATGCGGTAGCGAGCCTGACCAACATGGCGGCCGCCGCTAGTTTCCCCACCCCGCAGGATATGATGCAACTGAATGCACTGCAGGCGGAGCTGGAGGAGGAGCGGACCAAGTCAGCCCAACTCACCAAGGCACGCGATGAGCTCTACGCAAAGATGGACGCGCAGGGGGCCGAGCTGGCCAAGGCGGAGACGACCATCGCCCAGCACGACCGGGAGCTGACGAAGGTGAAGCAAGAGTACGAGGCCAAACTGTCCGCCACCGCCGGCTCCGACGAGGAGGTCACCCGGTTAGAGTCCCGCCTGCGGGAACGCACCGACCAGCTGGACCAGCTGCGCCAGCTGCTCGAGAAGCAGAAGGCCATCATCGTCAAGAACAACGAGAAGGCAGAGTACTTCCAAGCCTCCCTGCGCGAGAAGAACGAGGCGCTCGCGGCGCTCGATCAGCAGTGCCGGGCGCAACTGGAGCAGAAAGATACGCAGATGCAGCAGCTCATCAACAAGCGGGTCGAGGAGTTCACCGAGCAGCGCAACGCCGAGATGGACCAGAAGATGCACAACCAGAAGAAGCTGAAGAAGAAGCTGCAGAAGTTGCAAGAGGAGCTGGAGGACTGGGAGGCGAAGTACGACACAAAGATGTGCGAGTGCGCGGACCTGCGCAACGCGCTGGAGGAAAAGAATGTCCAGTACCTGCGTCTAATGCGCCGCATCGAGTACGCCGACGACGAAGTGGAGGTGATTGAGCAGAAGGAGCAGTTCCAGAATGCCCTCGAGCGGGCGAAGTCGGAGCGCAAGCGCAAGGATGATCTTTTTGCCAAGGGCGAGGTTAAGAATGCCAAGAAGGCGGCGAAGCGCTGTGGGACTGCGCACTCTGAATATTCAGAGTAAGACGGGAAGCGTTCCTACTTTTCTTTTTTCTTTCCCTTCGTATTTGGTTTCCATATGGCACTTCCGGCCTCTCTCCGCCCTTCCCCTTCTTTTTCCGCGTGCGTGTGTAGACCTTCTCGATCATCTGTGTTGCCCCTCCTCACCTCAACGTGCCCCTCTCTCTTTCTCCCTCCCTTGGTGCAGTGTGTGTCGTTTTCGCTCTAGCCTTTTTTTTGTTTTTGTGGTCGTTTTACTTCGCTGCTTCCACCGCTGTTTCCATGTGCAAAGGCGTGTTTCTTTCTTTTTTCTTTCACAGAGTTCTTCGAAATTGGTTGTCGCATCAATTCTTACGACGGCCTGCTCTTTTTTCTTCTTCTTTGCTCTCCCTCTTGAAATCTCCGTGCTGTTGCCCTGCGCCTTTCTGGTATTACGCCTTTACATTTTTAACTTCTCTTCTTCTTTGTGTGTGGCACTTCCGATGAACGATGTATAGTTTGGTGTGGTGGCCGACCCTTGCGGCACAGTTTATGTTTAACACTCTTTTGCTGCTCTTTTTCTTCTTATTATTAGTATTATTAGATTTCGCTTCTCAAGGTTGCCCTTTCTTCCTCCAACACAATCACACGATCACACACACACGCATAGCATGCAACTGGTTGCCACGCACGCTCTTCCCTTTTTCTCATTCCTCTGCTGTGCCGTGTGTATGCGTGTTCGGGGGCGAGGAATAATAAAACGCAACTAATGGAAAAGGGAAAAGGAAAGAGAAAAATGACGTAATCGAAGTGAGACGATGACGTATGTATGTGACATCATTGAAGTCGATTACTGTCCTCCCTTTTTTTATTATTATTATTGATTATTACTATTAGTATTGCTCCGCGATGATGTGTGCGTTCTGCATGTTTATTGTTTATTGTTTTACTCGATGTTTTCACTAAACACACGTGTGGAAATGCCCTCAGCCCGCACCTCTTCGTGTTTTATATAAAGCCTTCTTCTTTTTCCCCCGGTCTCTTCTCTCTTACCTACGCTTTTCCTGCTTGTATTATCTTTTCTTCTTCTTTCTTCTTCACTGGTGTTATATGGGTGTTGCATGTGGCTTTACATAAATATATATTGCGGGATTGTGTTACTTGGAGCTCGCTTTCTCCTCCTTTACAACTTCCCCGAATCGCGTTGGATTTGTCTCTTACCTGTGTAAAAAGCTGCGCCGCCCTCGTCCTTTTTTGTTGTTGTTGTGGCGTGTATGTGCGTGTATGTTGTGCGGGGGCTGTGCTTTGGCTCTTGTATTATTGTTTTCCTTTTTTCCCTTGAATTCGAGTTTGAACATTTTCTTTGTTGTTGCTTTTTCTATCACGCTTCGCTTCAACGGGTGCTCCGATTTCTCATACCGTTTCCGATGACACGTACCTTTTACGTAGTCCTCTCCCATCTTCTTCCTTTTCTCCTTCCGGGTTCCACGGTGAAAAAAAAGAAACAGATATTTACTTTTCTTTTTGAAGGTTGTGTGGTGTCGAGCAAGACCGTGAGCTGCCGCAGCGACGGAAGTGATGTGGGATGCGACGGGTGATGCAACGGAGGTGCGAAGTGTTTGTTTTTTCTTCTCTCTCCCTCTCTCTCTGTTGCAGAGTAGTGCCCGGGAATGCGCACCCTCTTGATCATTTTCTGTTTCTCTCTTCTTCTTCTTCTTTTGCTATGTGAAAAGGGAAAAAGAAATCAACGTGTCGATGCCGTTACTCTGGCGTGATACATCTTTTTTCCAAACGAATTTAGGATGAATCACTGAATAGACGTGGGACTCACATGTGTGGGTGTGGGTGTTTTATTGTCTCTTGAGAAACTCAAGCACGCACCTCAACTTGCAGAGTTCCTCGTTTCTTCTTCTTCGTACGCTTTTCTGCATTGAGCTGAGAGGAAAGGGGAAGGGGTGCAGCGCTCGCCGTCTCCTCCTCTCCCCGTCTCCTGATGGGCCTTGTAGGGCATTCCCTTTGTTCACTCTGCCTCTCTTACTCGCTCTCGCTCTCCCTCCTTACCATTCTCTCCGTCAGTGTCATCGTCTGAGTCCGTCTCTTTTCACCAGTGCATCTCCCTCAACGAACTATATATATATATATATATATATATTACCGCGTTAACTTTAGTGTCCTTCCACTTCCTCACCGTTCCTTTTCTCTTCCCGTTACCCATCCTATTTTTGCGTATTAATCATAACGAGTATTTTATAAGCGGTGGACAGACCCACGAAGAAAGAAAATGGTCGTCGCAGTCGTCTTCTCCATCACGTTCAAGAATGCCGAGTCGGAGCAGGCCTTCTTGGACGCCTTTGCGAAGCTGCAGCAGCACTGCATCCACAACGAGCCTGGCACCCTGACCTACGAACTCCACCAGGTGTTTGATCAGGGCGAGCCCGTCCCATTCCAGTACATTGTGCTGGAGCGCTACTCCAACCTGTACCACTTTGAGGAAGTCCACCTCAAAAGCTCGCCCTTCCGCACTCTCTTCCGCAACATCGGCGAACTGGAGGTGTCGGAGCAGACGCTGCGAGTCGCCACCAACGTGGCTGCGCAGCCCACCCTCGACGCGAAGCCGGATGTCTGGTCGGAGAACGACATCGAAGACCCCCTCCTGCGCAAGGGCGTGCTGGTCTTCTGCGGGGCGCGGCACGGCAATAAGCCCGCGTACGCCGAGGAGGCCCGCGCGCTCGCCACGTACATCGTCGAGGAGCTGAAGCAGCCCTTGGTGTACGGCGGCGGTACCGTCGGTGTGATGGGCACACTGGCGAACGAAGTGAAGGACCGCGGCGGCAAGATCATCTCCGTCATCCCGGGCTCGCTTTCTAGCCGCGAGGTGTCGGGTCAAACCATCGGCGACCTGATCTACACCACGGCGACCATGTCGGAGCGGAAGAGCATCATGTTTGCGCACGCCAACACGGTTGTCGCCCTGCCCGGCGGCGTTGGCACCTTCGATGAGCTGCTGGAGGTGCTTACGCTGTTCCAGCTGAATGCCTATCGGCCGAAGATCGGCATTGTGAACGTGGAAGGCTTCTTCGATCCGTTCCTGGCTCTGCTGCACCACCTCGTCGCGGAGGGGTTCCTGGAGGAGAAGATTTTTGGCTTCGTCGTGATAAAGCCGACGGCGGTGGAGCTGATGAAGGCGCTGCGGGACTTCGTGCCGCCGCCCAGCCCGGCTGCGTCCCTCGTCTGGAAGAGCCGTCCGTAAAGGAGGTGAACAACAGCAACAAAACAAAAATCCATTCATTTCTTCGTTGTCTGTTTGGATGTGCCGTAGGGTAATCGTGAGTTACACCCGTCTCTTCGTCTAACGTATTTTTTCTTCTCTCAATTGTTCTTTAAAAGCAATAAATACGTATATATAT